GCAGCTGCAATAACACTACATCTGGCTTAGAGAGTAGTAACAATACCAGCTTTAGAGATTGAAATACTTTGTTATTCCATAGCTTCATGAATAGAGGTTCTATCATGTTCATTCATTTTATCAAATTCATCAATTAAACAAATTCCTTTATCAGCCAAGACTAAAGCACCTCCTGAGATACTCCATTCATTAGTTGAATAATCTCTTTAAACAGAAGCAGTGAGACCAACAGCAGATGCTCCTTTTCCTGTTGTATAGATTGATCTATAGAATGTCTTTTAAACATTTTTTAAGAATTAAGATTTAGCAGTACCAGGATCTCCTAATACCAAAACATTAATATCTCCTCTTATTCTATGTTTACCTTGAATGTCTTTCGATTCTCCTCCAAACATAGCCAATGCAATAGCCATTTTAACATGTTAATGACCATAAATAGATGGAGCAACTGAATTATAGATAAGTTTATCAATTTTAGGGTTTTAAGATAATTTCAAGATTTCATCTTTGATTTTTTTATCAATATTCAAAGATTCACTATCATCTTTTCTTTTAATATAATTGCTTTCAATAATAGTAGAATATAAAGGGAAACCATGTTTAACATTAAGAGCATAATCATATCTTTAAGTATAGATTCCAGTAACTTCAATTTCATCTCCAGGTCTAGCTATATCAATTTAATCTCCTAAAACAATAACTTCTTTTTATCTGGGTACTCTTCCTGCAGGAACTTAACCTGGTGATTCTTATAGAGTTAATCGTTAAAAATTTCTATAGACCAATTGATTATATAATTTTTCAAAAGGACCACTACTTTAACATTGAATACAAACGCCTAATTATATGCTATCATTATTTTCTAAATAAAATGGTCCCTTTTTCATTCCACATTTAACACAAACATAAGTTATTTCTTTCAATTAAGAATAGACAGCACTTCTTCTAGTAACAACACCAATAACACGAATAAATTTATCTAAATGTTTAAATCTTAATTCTCTAATAATATCAATAACTGGAAGATTAGTAATTCTAACAAAAATTTCTTAATGAATATTATGATAATGACTGAATCTTTTATTGACTTCAATTCTTGCAGCTTCATTAAGATGAGGTAAAATAATTTTAGGTTCTTCTGCTACCCATAATGCTATTGTAGCATTAGCAGATACTAAATCTGGATATAATACTTCAAGTGATTATTTATTTGCTTTACACATTTCTTTAATCAATTATATATAAAATGGTTCTTAATCAGTACCTTTTTTGCATTCATTTAAAATCTTTCTAAAAGCTCTTTTAATCCAAGCCTCTAAATTTAAATATGATTAATACTTGTTCTATCATCTTTAATCCATTCATTTAATTTGCCTCTACATTCTTCAATATTTAAATATCTTTCTTCTTCAACAACATCTGTATCCTCTTCTTCTAATGGATCATTTATATAAAGTCGACCATCAATTTAATATGAAATCTCTTCAGAATCACTCAAATCTTAAATAGCACCAGGTATTCTTCTATCTTCCATATCAATTCTTCTTCTCCTATTAATCTCTAATTCTGCTTATCTCCTTTATTCATAATTCATATTTCCATCAACCTCTTCATCATTTATTCCCTCTGATTCATATCTATCTAATTCAGGTATAGGTTAATAATCATTCATCATTTAATCATTAATTAAATCTTCCCCTGATTCTTCTTCCTCTGGAGTACCTTCTGAAGATTATACTCCCAATTATTCCTCTTATGCCTCTTCATCTGAACCTCCTTTTTTCTCTTCTTCCTATTATTACCTTCTTCTACTCATTCACTTTTATTACTTTATTTATTATCAATTCATTTCAAAACCATTCCAATTATAAATATTCCCGCACTACCTATTTTTGGCGCAATTATATAACAATTATTTTACTATTAAAAATTACTACATTCTATCTTATTTTTATTTATTTTTCATACTCAACCCTTCACTTTTTAAATTCTCTTTTTCTCAACTAATTACTTATTTCTTATACTCACTTTTTATTCCTTCATTCTCATTAATTTAATACCCTCACTCCTCTCCGGTTTTAATTCATCCCCTTGTTACCTCATTAACCTTTCTAATACACCTTAGTTTATTTATTCTTACTCATTTAAAAGTTTATACAAGTTCATTCAATCTAATTTTTATAGTTAATCCATTATTAAAATATGACTGATAATATATTAATAAAATTAAAGTTAAGAAAAGACTCAACTTTCTATTTAAAAAAACACCATCCAAATTATTAATGGAACCTTATGATGTAGAATATCTCAGAACAAATTTATTTCCTCCAAAATACAAATTCTTTATTTATAAAACTTGCAACTTCAGAAATTAGTTAAATATAATATCATTTAAAAAGAGTGATGAGTAATATATTCATGGAATAATGAATTAATTGAAAAAAATGAAAATTAATAGTTCATTATTCAAATATAATGTAGTTTCAAAATAATACTGAAAATTTAATGAACACATTTAAAAAGTAAAAAGCCTATAAGTAATAGTATTTTAGATATAAAACATAAATGATAAATTGTTTTGAAATTAAAATCATTTTAATTAATCAATTATGTTTAAAATATTAGAAATTTATAGAATCAAATTTTCAAGTATTTAATTTATTTTTCTTTCGTTTTAAATCAATAAAAAAATTTCAATCAACAGATTTTATGAGTCAATACATTGTTATTTAATTGATAAAAATTTTGATTTACTATTAAAAATAAGAATATTATTTCTTTGTTATAAACATAAATTAAATATTTTTTGAAGATTAATTATAAAATAAATGAAATCAAAACCATTTTAGATTACTAGTTCAATTTTTACTTGTCCAAATTCTCAATTTTGGAATGAAAGTGATGTTTAAATAACAAAAGAAAATTTCAAAGAAGATTATTTTCTCTTTTTCTCGAATAAAAAACAAACTTATCTAAACAAACCTCTCTAAAAAGCTGGTTCAATAATTAGAAAACAAAAAAAAAATGTATCCCTAATTTCAATTAATTCTAGGGTCTGTATTAATGGTGTGATGTCAACAATTCAATAATTGAGATAATCTAGATTCAACATGTAGGTTAAGGTTTGAGAATAACGAAAAATCAATAAAGCATTCAATTCTATGGATACGTTGATGCATGGTTTAAGGATTTAAAGAAATTTTGTATTCAAAAAAAAATCAATGAATCATATATTATCAATAATAAAATTGGATGTGGAAGTTATGCTGATGTATTTAAATTTTAGAAATATCAAATAGGTATATAAAGTTATTCGAAAGAGTGATAGCAAAGAGTTTGCAGCCAAAATTTATGATAAATCATCTGATAAGTTTGATTCAGAATGCATTCTAAAAGAAATAGACATACTGAGAAAAATGGATCATCCAAATGTTATATAACTTTTAGAAACTTTCGAAACTTAAAAATATATATTTATTATAACAGAACTCTTTGCATATGGAAGTTTAGATGATATAATAACAAAGACGTCATTTTCAGAAGAGGAAATTTTAAAAGGAATGTATAAAATAATTGATGCATTATCAAATATTCATTAGAAAGGAATTATACATAGAGATATTAAACCTGAAAATATTTTATTTCGTAAACCAAATTTAGAGGATATCTTAATTTCTGATTTTGGTTTAGCTGATTATTATAACTCAGAAGGGTAATATTAATATTAAAGATGTGGAACTCCAGGTAATATGGCACCAGAAATTCTTAATGATTAACCATATGATTATAAAATCGATTCTTATAGTGCCGGACTGATCTTTTATTAAATGTTGAACTTGGGAAAATCACCTTTTATAGTGGAAGATTATGAAGAAACATTAATTAAAAATTAATTAGGAATTATTGATTTTTCAGAAATCAATGTATCACCATCAGTAAAAGCTCTGTTGTAATAAATGTTAGAAGCTGATCCTCAAAAAAGATGTTCAATTAATGATGCCAAATTTAATGTACTCTTTAAGAAATTTAACAGAGTGACAATTAAAATTAAAAGAAAAAGACTTCATTAAGATTAAACAGTTTCTAGTTATAGTCCTAGAAGTACTTCAATTTATTAGACTCCATCTAATTCTCCACCAATTCCTAAAAATCCTAAATTTAAAAGTATTGGTTTAAATACTTTACATTTACCAAATAGAGTAAGAAGTTAAGATAGCCAGCTATTTCCTTCTCCAAAATCATGCAATTCTGGAGGAAATAGTGCTAAAACTCAATCTAAATAAAGAAATCGAAATTTTAAGATTAATGTCAAAAATAGCATTTATCAAAGTATCAGTTCTACTAAAGTAATTTGAATCATTAATCAACTTATTAAGATTAATGATATTGAAGTGTATTCATAATTATAATAGTCAATTTTTAATATATATTATTAAGTTTAATTATCAAATGAAGAAATTAAAATCCTTACAGTGAGTTTTTATTCTAATTCATTATCAAAATTTTATCAGTGAAGAATCAATTTTTAGTATATTATTCTATTTTCTAATATTTCTTAAAAATAACAGAAAAGTAAATCAGAATTTATTCATTTTATCTCAAATGGCACAAAAGTTCTAAAATATTTCTAAGATTTAGATTTTTATCTTTTCAAATAAATAATTTCTGATGAAAATAAATAAATCAGAATCTTATAAGTGTTTTAGGGTATAAAATTAAATATATAATTAATAATAGTAACAAGATAAGATTTCTAAATAAATATAGGATTACCATTTTATAGAAATTTCTTAAATATCCTTAATAGCATAAATATATTAATCTTGATAAGTAGAAGAAAGAGCAAATAAAAATTAAAGACCTTAATTTACTTTATTATAATTAAGTTATTTTGAAGATTTATTCATCAATGTAAATTGAATACTTTAACTTATTTTATTAATTTTTATAATTTTATATTTTTAACACTTAATCTAACTTTGATACTAAATCTAAATTTACTTTTTTTTAACATTTGACAAGACTTATTTCTAAAATATATTGTATGCTACGATTGAAAAACTTTTAAATCATCTCCATAGATTGATGAAATTATGATTAAATTTCGTAATATAAAGTAAAAATAATCAATATACTTAAGTATTCTTTAAGCTAATAATAATATATATTAATTAATTAGGTTTGAGATTAATTATCATTTAAGTAAAATTATAGATCAATATGAATCACAAAATTTTCATTTAATTTTTTATATTTATTTCTTTAGAGCAATTTATTGTAATAATTCCTATAATATCAATTTAAAAATATTACTTATTTTCTACTTTAAAATTCTTCAAGATACATATTACGTTTAGCTTATTATTCTTCAATTTTATATTTTAATTCAACATTTTAATTTTCTATATTTTCTACGAACTCTGGAGAATAATCTTCGTTTTACATTAAGTCTTCATCCCAAAATGCCTCTTATTGTTATGACTACAATTAAAATACTTATTATTGTCCTTATATTATTTATTAATTTTATTTAGTTTCTGATTTCTTTACTGACAAATCAGTTGGAGTATGAAAATATGTTTATACTTACTAATACTTTTATTGTAATTCAGAATTTTCAACAGATAGTTATTTGTATTACTAAACTAATAATTATTGATCTTCTTCAAGTTCTTTACTTTATTAAACAATTTTTATTCTCATTTAAAAATTAAATTAATTTAAAATTCTTTTCCATTTTGTAAAACACTTATTTGTCATTTAATCTTCATTCATATTAATCTTAGATAAATATTTGTAAATAATCAAGTTTCTTCTTTTTCTCAGATATTTCTGATGTGCTTGATTCAAAGCTGAATTTAATTTGCTTGAAATAACAGACTATATATTATATTGAAATTACTAAATTTTTTATTATGTCGACATTTACACATTGTGATCCCTAATTATTGCGATTATAACAAACAATTTTATAATAGGAAAAAGAAAGGTTTTTTAGCATCAACCTTTTTAATATGATTTTAAAATTAAATAAAATTACTATTTTTTATGCATTTTTTTGTTTATTTATTTTTAATTCTATGAAAGCATTAGATAGAACTTTAAATTTTAATTTAGTTACCATGGCAACAACTTAAAATGTTAGTTATATTAATTCATTTTACTTTTTAATATCATTTTAAGATTACTCATTTTAATTAATTTCAAATTTTCTTTTCCAATAACAAAAACAATGTAATTTTTTATTTTCTAAAGCCATCACAAATTTAGAAATAGCTTCCTATTTTTTCATTTCTTTTTTTAATTAAGTTTCTCTGTTTATCTAAAATTTTTGTAATATTTTAAGAAACCTTGATTGATAATTGAATCTGTAAGCAAAAACTTTCAAAAATGGAATTATTTTTTTTGATTTTTTATTAATAAGTTTTATTAGTAGATGTCGATAATTATGATTTATACTTTTTTACAAAATCTAAATCATTCTGCATAAAGTTTCTTTTTTTAATATTTCTAATTGCACAAGATTGTAATTTTGCAATTAATATAAAGCTTCTCTAAATTGATTTGTATTTGAAGTGTTTATTTAAACTGTACTTTTTTCATCATCTTTTTCAGAAAGTAATTTGATATTGTTTCGATTAGCTATTTTGAAGTTTTTAATTTTGAAATAAGCTTAATTTCTCAAATTGTACAATTTTTGAACAATTCTTTTATCTATTATTTTAATCAGAGATTTTAATCTCTCTTCTTTTTAAAGTTACTTTTTTTGAAGTAAAGAAACTAACTGTTCCATCTTTAATAATTTATATTATATTAAATTTTTGTAATATAAAAATAAATTATAAAAAATTGAATGAAATTCGTGAAATATAAATCAATTTATTATTCCATCTTTATATGATTGAACCTCTTTATCTAGTGGAAATAAAAGTTAATATTATCATTTAAACTTAATTAGAATCAAAAAGTTGATGTAATCTTTGTTAAATTAATGGTTGCCTCACTAAATCTATTATTTTGTTTATACCCAAGATTTCACGTTGATTTCTATTAAAAATTCATTTAATATATAATCGCTTTGTCTCAACAGTCAAAGTTTTTAATCAGAAACTCCCTTATATCTAGATTTAATACTGATATTTTGCGCAATTTATCTTAAGTTTATATAATTAAATTTATATTAAAAGATATTGAAACAACATATTTGAATGATATTTTTGGATGGTTATTATTGGTTAAATATATAATTAGTTTGATGAAAAGAGTTTTTTTATTTAATTATTTCATAGACAAATTAGACATAATTATATATTCAAATAAAGAAAATATTTTAAAATTCATAAAAAGAAGAAAAAGAAATAGGTTATGATCTTAATTTTTTTTTAATTTCAATATTTGCTATGATTTATAACTACAATAAAAAATCTTATTACAATAATTTTTATAAATTTAATTTAATTCCCTTTAGAATTTAAATAATATTTTGACAAATAAAAAGATTAGAATTTTGTATTATATTTATTTAAATTCAGTTCTAATTAGCTTTTTAATGGTAATTTTTGAATTATCTTAATCATTTAAAAGAATAATTATAATTGTATTTAATAAATCTAGTAACTAATTTTAAATTAATAAAAACTTTTTTTTTTAATATTAATATTAATTAAATAGAAATGAAATCATTTCAATGTATGAATCATAAACAAGATATTGTTTATTATTGTAATGATCAAAATTGCGAGAATAGATGTCTGTGTGCATAATGCGAACATGAACATGATAAAACTCCAGTTTAAAATTTATTAGAAGGTTATAACATAAAAGAACTTGTCTAATGCTTTTAAAGTTTTAAATAAATAATAAATGATCTAATGACAAAGATGGAACATGAATTGAGTTAGCATCTTTAATAAATAAAATAGCCTTAAGCAAGTGTTTAAAATTTAGAATAATTTGATAAACGATTGAGTGAAATCTCAAATATCTAAAATACATTATAGGCGAAAATAAAAAATAGATTACAGCACATAATTAATACTTTAAAAGGATAGGATTTAGATTAAAGTCCAATTAATATAATTGATACCAGAAGGAAAGAACATTCTAAATCAATTATACTCAGTTAGGCCTAAATATAATAAGATATCATAAAGAAAACAAAACAATCAAAAATATTTAAAATGAATGTTGCTCATTCAAATTAACAAGATACTCAATAAATAATTTAACAACCCAATCTAAATTTAGATAGAGTTGAAGTAGCAAGATTATAATAATTAAGTACATAAGATTGGGCTTGGAAGATGAGTTCATCAACAGTGTTTTGTTGTATATTTTCATCATTAAGAGATTTGAAAATCATAGGATTTTTATAGCCATGTTTATTTAAAAGCAGTACTAAAAATTATCAAAAAAAATCAGCAGTTATTAATTTTGGTATATATAATAAAAAAAATTTGACAAAGTAACCAATTCATATAGAGAAATTCACATTACGACATAGCAAAATGAATATAGTACATGATTGTTATGAATTGATGTTAAGTAAACCAATAGCGTTAAAGGAATTTACAGAATATTCAATAGCAATTTGGCCAAGCAAAGTCTTGTATTGTCACTATTTTAGTATTGCTGCCCCTATTAATCCATTTATAGCATTTCAAACTTAAGATTTTAATGATAATCCAAAAATAAAAAGATCAGAAGAGTTTCCATAAGTAATTTCAACATTTAGAGCAGGTTTAGTTCCATATTTAATAATTGATCCAAGAGAATAATTATGACATTAATTGAATAAATGTAGTCTTATATATATATGAAATATGATGATGATATTAATTATCAATCATTAACACCTTTTCCAATTATTTTTAATGTGTCTTAAATAGTTTTAATAACACTGCTTAAATTGTCAATAATTTATCCTTATTAATTAAATCTTTGATTCATTTCTTCCTTCAAGTTATAAGCAACATGATTAAATTCATCAATTGTTTTTACATGAAAATCTTAATTATTTTTTCTTTGTCTTTATATTTCTTAATCAGTGTGATCTCTTAATTCTTTACTTTAAAGAATTCTATCTGATTTTTCATTACTTAATTTTTCATTAAGTTAATATGCTTCATCATCTAATTTTCTTAATATCTCTTTTTCTCTTTCAACTCTTGTATTTTTTTCAGTTTCATAATGCTCAAATAAAGCTAAGATTGGTAATGAATAATACTAGTTAATTATTTTCTAATTTCTCTAAGATTTTCATCAGATTATCTCATTCTTTCTTATTTTTCTTCTTCTAATTTTTATGTTAGATCTCTAAGATAAGAATTAGCATCAACTATTCTTTAATCTGTTTAATTTGCAAATGTTTCATGTTATGTTTACAATTTCTAATTCGTTTAATTTAACACTTAAGTAAATTTTGAATCATATGCAATTAATGTATTATTTATTCTTTCACCTTCTTAAGTGATAAATTCTCTAGTATTTTATATTTTCCTAATTAATATAAATAATAATTACCTATGAACATCTAAAAATTTAGCTTCCAGTTATTTTTTTGCTTCTTCTCTATTTCTCTTCATATCTTCAAAATCATTTGCTAAATCTCCCATTTATTTCTCAAGTAGAGTTAGTTTTTCATTATCTTTAGGTAATTACTTATATGGTTTTTAAGTTAAAGGACCTGTTGTTTATAAATTTTGTTATGTTTATTGCATAAAATTAAATAAATTATTTTAAAAAGACATCAATAACAAGTAAAAAATTTATCAATAATCAATGTTAAAAATTTTATCTTCTTTTGATTACAACAGTTTTTGGATTGACACTAAGTCTAGCAGTATTGGATTCATCTAATTAAGTTTTTATTCTTTATGTTAAACAATCTATTCTATTTTCTCTAACTCTATCATATTTCCTTTCTGATTTAGGATCTTAATGATTCAGTTTAATTTTCAATTTCGGCACCTCCATTAATCTTAGAGGTTGCATTTTATATATAGTTTAAGGTTTAAAAATATTACCATTAGAACTATTTACAATACTTGTTTTAGTGATGAAATTATGATTTACATTATTTTATGAATTAGATGCTTAAGTTTAATGATTTAAATTATGATTGAAAAAATGGAAATTTTGAGTAACCATCTTATTATTAGATATAGTAGTTTGTAATCCATTGTTTTAATTTAATTAGTTAACCTAACTATTTTAGATTTGTGTATTAACAATTGATTGAGCATTATGAACACTACATCCATTACTAAAATTATTAGAAATGAGATTGCTAGCTTTTCTAGGAGTACCTATTTATAAATTTTATTGTTTTTTAATGTTTCCTAAATAAACAGTTTTAGAAGTTGTATTTACTTTGATAGTAGATTCTTTTGGTTTTTAAAGTTCTTTTTATTAAAGAAAAGTTGAAAATTACATCGCTTTGGTTAAATCTTATTCAATAAGAGATTATGTAAACTATTTTTACCAATCTTTTTCTATGGCTCTATCAGCCTCAACATTTTTAAGCAATTATAATATTGTAGTAGATTTTTGAGTATCATTTAATTCTTTCAAAAAAAACGATAATTCTTATTTAACCAAAGGAGTACTTTTCTTTTTACTTTTTTTAGGACTCATTCCACCTTCTCTTTAAGCTTCCTTCTCAATTTAATTAATTGCCCAATGATATTCAACCTATGATCTGCTACTAAGATATTTTAATATAATAGCTTTTAATTCCAGAAAGTATAACATAGGATGATCAATACTAAACTTATAAGTTATTAGATATGAATACTTTATAATACTGTATTAATTATTTTAGTTAAAGTTAGCAATTTGGCATATAATAGAACTGTTTTAGATATTCTTCTTAACTGTCTAAAATTTTGTAATCTTCTACTTTCGCATAGATTGTATGTTTTTCTTTTCTTAAAATTTAGTTGATAGGTCGAGAAAAAAAATAATTTTGGCTCTAACCATGTTTGTAATATAGACTGATATTCATTGTTTAAATAAGATCTCCTTTTTTTGAAATCTAATCAATCGAAGCATACAAACATTAGCGCCTGTGTATACAAAATCTGCATTTGTGATTTTACATTAATTATAATTCATTATTAATTGACTTGATTAGAACAAATTATTCATAATTAAATAAATTATGCAATTATCTCCTATAGATTTAGATTATTTGCATTAAGAAAGCATTGGAGGAGTCATTGCTGATGGATTGACTGTTCTCTATAATACATAACCTGATAAACCTATTGAATTTCTGGCCAAATGGCTATTATAATATTGTAAAACTTCCACTCAGAAAATTCACTTTTATAATGATGTATAATAATCTTCACTAATAGTTAACAGCTCTAGAAGAAAGAATAAAATATTTAGAATTTCATTCAATAACAAAAATAAGAGAAGGAAAAATTGGAAGAATTACTTCAATTATAATAATAATCCTTGTAATAATAACTGAATTACATTGAGTATCTCAGAAACCATCCATATCATTAAGATTTAATAATTTAAGAATTTCCAGATTTCATAATGAAGAAATTTGTAATTATCTTTTATTATTTTAATATAGAATTTGTCTGGTGTATACATATGTTATTTTAGTCATCAAAAATAAGAAGTTGATATAGATCTTGTTGATGATGAAAATGCCTTTATCAATCAAAAAGCACCTAAACTATTGAAATATGTTGGAACATCTTCAAATTAGAAATTCCTTCTAAATTAAAACTTAACTGAATAAGCAATATTAACATATGAAGTACTTAAACCACCTCCTGTAGAAGAAGGTAAAGCTCCTGAAGTTTATAAGGGTTGTTACATTCCTGATGTGGTTAAAGAGCCTAAAATTTATTTCCATAAGTTTCCAAAATTGGGATGTTACTTTGCAATTCCAATGAATTTTGAAACTTCTCTTTTTGAAGTAATAAAATATCATTTATATTAGGATGCTTTTGATACAGGTTTGATTAATAGGATTAAATACAATTCTGAAGTAGAAACACAAAAGTAAGAAATCAAAACAAAAGAACTTGAACATGCAGAATAATTATAGAATGCTGAAAATGAAGAATAAAGGTAATAATTGGAAGATGAATTTTAAAATTATTTATCATCTCTTCCATAAATTACAGAACCATCATTTTTAGGGATTCAATAACAATATATTGTTTGTGGAGATACTTTAGGATAAGATAAAAAATTATCCTTAGAGGAACGTAATGAATTATATGAATTAATACAATAATTTGGATAAAGTTATTAAGAAAAAGAAATTGCTTTATTATCTGAAGACATTAATTAATAAATTGAATATCAAAATACTATTCCTGAAAAATTGGAAGAGAATTATTTAGATTAAGAAAATTAATTTGTTTAGTAGTAAGCTGTAAATTTAGAAGAATTAAAAGAAACAAGAGAAAGAGATTATAATTATGAAATAGAATGCATTAAATTTGATTTTTTGAAACAATAATTTACAGCTAAAGATTTTGCTTCAACTTTTCTGAACTTAACAAAGAGAAGAGTGATCAAATTTCCAAATATAATAAAAGCATTATTTTATTTATTGGGTTATAAAAAAGAGGAAATTACATAAGAAAATAAATTAAATTGGAAAATTGTTGCTTCTTATATTGATTATAGATTTTTAGCAAAATTAGCACTTATTAATCATAGAGGACCTAAAGAAGCACCACTTTAACATGCAACTATATTTAGATTAGAAAAATTGATTGATATATATGATGAAGAGAAAGTTATGAATTATAATTGGGCACTAGGATATTTATAAAGATTTCTAACATTATATTGTAAATTAAGAAGAGAAGATGTTGCTATAAGAAAAGAGATATTATTAGAAAAGAGAGCATAATTATAAGCATCGAAAGAATTATTAACATAGTTATTAGTATGAATTATATTTAATAAAAAATAGGAATAAAAAGAAATAGATTTATAAGTAGTTAGAACAAACTTTTAAGGAGAGGAAGGTGAAGAATTTAATGAAGAAAGATGGAATGAATAATGGGAATCAGAACATAATCTACCTGAAATTGGACCAGAACCATAAGATGAAATAGATGATGACTTAGAATGATATACATAATTTACAAATAAAAATTATATATATTTATATATATAGATGAGAAATTCTCAAGCAATGTCTATGCGTCGATCTATTACGGTTTAATCTAAAATGATGCATAAAAGTGAAAGATCTCTTTTACCTTAAGATGATATCTTGAAAGAAAAAGTAAAATCTGATTTTGCTCTGGGACATTTTAGAGGCTTGTTAAGCAAAAAAACACCATAAAAAGAATTACCAAAAAGTGAAATCTAATTAAAGAGATTTGAATAATTTGGGAAAGCAAACTAGCAATCTAAAAATAAAAGATTAACATTTCTTAAATATGGATTTAGATCTCATGAAAAGAAAAATAATTATTATCTTTAACCGTTTATTAGAAAAGTTAGAGAAGCTGAAGGAGATGTTGCAAATGATGGTTCTATGGGAGTTGTTGATTTGTGGAGTGATAGATGTATAAATAAATTGATGGAAGGAATGCATATGACCAGAGATAATCTTATCGTAAGGAAAATGGGTAGAGAACTTAATGATAGTGATTAATAAATGAAATAAAAATTAGAAGAAAGGAGAATGAAAGATAAGATTCTTATTGAATCTATGAGATTAGCATCACAAGATACTGATACATTTGCTTTTAAATTTTAATTACCTTCCAAAAATAAAAAAATTGTTGAACGCATTGCTTAACCTACTATTGTTAGTACTCTAAGAAATAATATTAGTCCTAATGATAAAATCACCTAAATTGTTGATAATATTGACAATTTACATTAAGATTATTTGGAAATTTATACTGATTTATATAGTAAAATCAGAAATTTATAAAAATTCATCAAATGATATCTTTTAATTTCCAATTTATATTAAAATACTTTAAGTCTTCTACCTATTATATTCAATTTATCTTTGTTTCTATTATGTAAAAGAATTTATTATTAGGAATCTTTCATAAATAAAACAAATCAAATATATATTTTTTAATTCTAAAAGATTCATCTTCATGAATTCATTACTATACTTTATAAAAAAAATGAATTGGATAATTTTTAAATTAATCACTGAGTATTTTGAGGCAATTTAATTTTTGATTCACCTAACCAATAAATCCCAATTTTATTTTGTTTCTATCAAATCTATTTTTTATTCTAATTTCTACTTTTAGAACTATCAATTAAGCTGAATTTTATGATTCTGATTAAACTATTTTTAAAATTATAAATTATTGCAGATAATCTTTTATTTAAATGCTCTCAAATTTTTTATTTTCACTCATATCAATTCTGATCAACCATTAAATTTATGGCAATCTAATCTAATCTAATTTAATTTATTTTTTTTAAGAACATTTCATTTTGATATGTTCAACCTCTATTCAAAATTTCATTTATCAATTTTTTATTTTGAAAGCTTTTTCTTTTTAGATAAATCATGAGAAATACTATCATAAAATAAGCAACTATAAAAATTTGTAACCTATTTTTATTTATTAATATCATTTCGATAAAATTTATAAAAATTCAAAAAACTTTATGAAGTTTAATGAAATTAAAAATACATTAGCTATCTTAGCTATCTATATTTCAAAATTCTTTCACAAAAAACAAATAACTTGCTATATAAATATATATATTGTATTTTAGTATAATAAAAAAAATTGCTCTTGATAAATAAATTTAAAAAATCAAACTAAAATAATTAGAACCAATAAAAAAATAATATTTTTCAATATATAGTATAAGTAAAGGCAGAAATCCTCGAATCAATAATATCAAGGAAATTAAAAAAAAAGTTTATGATAAATTTAATGAATTAAAGTATATTTTGCTAAATGCACAATATAATTGGAACTGATTCAATTGTCGAATAAAATGATATGGCCTAAAAATTAAAAATAGTTTAAAAGCTTTAATAATTATTAAATCCACATAATATTAGTTCCATTATGATTCTTTTTTATATTTCAGAATAAAGATTCCTAAATTTCAAGCTATTTTTACATAATTAGTTATAATTTTATATTAATTGGGAAAATTTTATAATATCAATAAAATTCTCAAATTTAATTAAATAAATATTTATGATGAAAAAATTATCATATTTTACATATGAATCCCTTCCTGTATACTCGATGGTAACTTCACTAGTGTTAGATGGCAATGTGTTATAATTCTACTTGATCAATGTAAGGGTTTTGAAATGAATTAGAGCCAACATTTGCAATAACAGATTAAAATAATATAATGGCTTTCAGTAAATATTCTAAAGCAAAATTTGCCTTACAATTAAGATTATCCGCAGAGATTGATCAAAGCGATGATACATTAAAAATAAAGAGATGGGCGAATTTTGGTATAACATATGAAGAATTATCACAATTGCTTTATCCCGATTTATTACCAGGAAAAGAATTTGCTTTATGTAGGATGAATAAATTTATATTTGTATAGAATATCGAAAGAAATAATTATTTGGAAAGCTATATGAAAGTTATTTCAAATTAGTGTTTATAGAGAATGTAGATCAAGACAGATAATTAACTTACATAATAAATACTGATTAGCATGGATAATTTAGAAAATAAATAGAAGTATGAATGAAATAGCATATTAGAATTCATTAACTTGGATATCAGGTTGGCATCATCCAAAATAATTTATAAAGTAATTAGAAGTATAAAAACCGATCAATTGATTTTAATTTATTTTATGATATAAAGAAAAGTTAAAAACTATTAATATTATATTTGTATTTTGATATACTTTAATGATTTCATTAAATCAATTGATGTTTTGGTGTAAATGCCACACCTTTTGGATCTAGACTATAGAGTATTATCTTATCTTCTCCAGGAGCTAACTCTATTTAATAACAATCTCCAACTTCAGGTTTTAATAATTTAACACCTTATTTGTTTTATAAAGTGTTTTTCAATTTGAATGTTTTCTATGATGTGTTTTTATAATAGAAATAACCCAATCTAAAATGAATAGAGATACTATATACCCTTTGGTAACAACAGTTTCTATAGCACAAAATAAACCATTAGTCAATTATTATTAGTTTTTATTTTCTCTTGCTACTTGTAACATAACAGTTTTTCTTAATTCTTCATCTCTAGGTACTTATTTGGGTCTCAAGAATTCTGTTCCGTAAACACTAAATTAATATTCATGTTCACTCCAAGTTGGGATAGCCCATTTAATTTTAATTTGAACAGAATACTTTCCTTTAGTTAATTTACCTCCTAGATGAACTTCAATATCTTTTTATTATTTTGAGTCAATAAATTAATAATCTCCTTTACCATTATTTTTGGCTAATAAAATTCTAACATAAGAATATTCATATTTCAATTCTTTATGTTATGCATATCTTCTTAATGCTTCTTGATGAACTGTGAAATAATATTCTCCATCGTTTGGAACATCAATATCATATTAAATAGTTTTAGTTCTTTTAGCCATCTATTTTATGGAGTTATATAGATATTCCTTCTTAAAATAACATACAAAAATTGATTAGAAGTATCTTTAGAAATCTTTGATTTCCATAAAAAAGATGCCATCATCTTCTTTCTTACCAAATTTTACTTATTATTTTAATTCTTCTGTCCATAATGAACTTCCATCACTCCAATCACCATTCCACTCTTTTGATCCCCAAGGATTTCTAATTTTTACAAGAGTGATATCTCCTTTAGTTGGATGTTTCAAATCATAAACTTTCAATACTGAATAAGCATGTCCTGCTTCTAAACCATAATTGGCATAATTTGGATTTGATTAAAATGTACCACTTGCCATAACACATTTCATATCTGAAAATTTTTATAATTATTATTTAAAATCTTAAGCGTTTGTAAATATAAGCCATGTTGGACCACCTGTTATACTTTTAAGAACTTCTCTTGGATCACCACCCTCTATATCTGTGTAATTATTATTCATTTTAGCCCAAGCTTTTTCTAATAAAGCTACCCACAATTCTGCTCCTGCATTTTTTAAAAATGCTGGATTTCCTTAACTATTAACTGGAATAAAGTCATCCAACATAATAACTTTCCATTCTCCATCTTAACACAATCTTATTGCATATAATTTTTAAGAATTTACTCTTTAACTTATAAATAAATCTTTTATCACTTCAGGCCTATTAATAACTATTTATTATATACCATCTGCATGCAATTGAACTTATTGATGCTAAAAAGTAACAATCTCCTAATATTCCTTATCTAATATCTCTATGAGAAATCCATTTTCCTAATCCTACTCTACTATCCTTTTAATCCTCAATATTAAACATTTTTAATTTATTTTAAAAAATGTCACTCATTCTTTTCCATGATAATTAAGAAAATCTCATTCCTAAACTTCTTACAGATGGTGGAAAATCACTATCAACAAACTCTTATTTTGATTTTCTTAATTCTTCTCTTTTCTAAACTAATTCCTTTGCTCCTGGAATTTATAAATCAATATTTAAGAAATCAGCAAAATCTACTTCATCATCTTTTACTTCCTATTATTCTACATCTTCCACTGCTTATGCTTAATGAACTTCTTCCCCCTATTACATCTTATCATCCAATTATGATCTTATTGTATATTTTATTTATTCTTATTATGGATTTTTATTTTTATTTTCTACAATCTCTTCCCATTTTTAAAACAATTATCTCAAATGATCACAAGAAAATTTCAAATTTCCAAATTACTTTCTTAAAGATTGATATTCTTAAAGAGTAAGCGAATTGTGGAAAAATTCTATCAATTCTTTGAATTCCCTCTCTTCTAAAGCCAAATCTTTGTTCTTATCAAAGAATTTGAATACTCTTTCAATATCTAACCTTTTAGCTTTATAATTTTAGATAATTATTGTGATTGTTTATATATCCTATTAAGATAACACAAATTCGATTTTTTATTAATTTTCTGTCAATTTTTCAAGTATCTCAACTGTCAATCCTATTAAACTCTTAAAATCAATCAATGCTTTCTAATAAAATCTATCACAATCTGTTATCGTTATTGATGGATCATTTTAGGTAATTAATTTTCTAAAATGAACCTATGCAAGAGCAGGTCGACCATACTCTTGCACAAGCTATTTAAATGGTTTTTAGACGGCCAATTTATAAATTACTTTCAAAATTTGTTCATCAGATCCCATTATTTTAGAAAAATTAATATCTTATTAATAAAAAAAATATGATTTGAACCATTATTTCAAATATAAAATTTATATGTTTAAATAAAGATTGTTAATTGCACTAATGAATTTACAACTTTTTATATATCTTAACTTATTTACTTTTTTATAAAAAGGAAATTTATTTAAATGTATTTTAAATTGCCATCATTAATTCAGGTGATGTAAATATAATTAATAAATGAAAAAAAAGAATTATTTATTGTATATATCAACTCCTTTTATTAAACAAACCCTCAAATTTTATGATTCTGATTTAGTGTCTTTATAAATTTTAGATTATTTGATCTATATTTTTTATTTAATTTCACAAAAATAAAAAAAATTAATAAGTTCTCTTTTATTAAATTATTAATAAAATGAAAAAAATAAATGGAGGAAAAAAGCAGTCCTTTGTTCCTGCAATTGTAACTATAGAATTTAGAATTCAAAAAAGAAATCAAAGTACATTTATTGTATATTTTTTTTAATCTAGTTGCCGATCTGATTTAAGCTAATTCTCTACTAAAAGAGATAAATGAATCAATTATAATAGCCAGAGTTAAGGAAATTGAAAACAAAATATTTTAAGAACATGCAGTTAATGTTCATTTATATAGCAGCAGAATTGAAAAGGTAGTTTCTCTCTTTAAAGGAATAAATTAAAATAATTATATAAATATTGCGTAAAAATTAAAAAGGCAAGAGCTTAAGACTGAATCAATATTTAAATTATTAGAAAAGAAGAAATAATTAAAAGACTATGATTAATAAATTTTAAATAAAACTCTTTAGAAATCAGAATATGATCCTCTAAATACAAAATAAATTAGCTCAAAAAAAGCAGTTTTGGTGGCAAATAAAATTACAATAGTTAAGACAAAAACTTAAACTTCAGATTCAAAGGGAAACTTTGCTGCAAAGCCAAATATGGTTTTTGCAGATTCAATTCAGCCTATAGAACCAATTTAAGAGAAAAAAGTTAAAATATAGAAAAGTGAAGATGATGATGATGAAATTGATATAAGAATAAATGATGGTATACAAGGAGCTGCATTAATAGGAGTTTATTGTTCAAAATAAATGATTTTATTTGACAACAAAGTTAAAATACCAATAGTTCTTTTAGTTTAATTTTCTCCTTAATATAGAGTGTTATGTGATAAAATTGATTTTACAAAGCTTCATAATGCCAAAGAGACTATTTCTTTTTTATCTTCAAATCTTGAGAGAAAGATTGTGTTTGGTTAAGTTGTATTGAGACCAAGTGAATATACTAAAAATTTAAGAGAATTAAGTGAAAAACTAATAAAATAGGATAAAATAGTAGCTTAAAAATTTGATAAAGACAATGCATCTTTTTTAATTTTGCATAAAAGTTAATTAGAATAAATTCTTAAAGCAAGAAAACAAAGTCTTGCATTTGATGCTTCTGATATGGTTATAAAAGAATGGGCAAAAACATAATCTTATTTAGAATGGTGGGCATTGAATAAATAAGATCATAATCTTCATTTTTTGATATCATATAAAAGTTTAACAAATACAAGTGATTAGAATTATGAAAAAATCATACTCTAAAAACCTTCATGTTATCCTAAAATTTAATAAACTATTGATTCTTTAAAATAGAAGAAGGACATTGATGATTTATTGTAAGGATTTCTTCAAACAGATTTATCACAAATAACATTTCCTTAAATTTTTGGTGATATGGTTTAAGAAAATAACAATATTTAATAATAAGATGAATAATAAATTCAAGAAGAAATCGATCAAATTTAAAAGAGTTAAGATGAAGAATAACAAGATAATTAATAAGAGGAAAAACCTGAAACTAATAGGATTAGTGGATAAGAATATAAAGAAATAAATTTTAATATTAAAATATCAGATTTAACTCTACAATTATCAAAGGATGACTATTTCTGATATTTTGATCAAATATAAGTGAGCAATAATTAAATATAATCTAATTATAAATATTTTAATAAATTTTATTGAATGACTAAATCCCACTTACTAATACTAAATGTATTTTAAGTCACAACGATTAGTCATAAATTAAGTACTATTATTAGCTAGGCAGTCTAAGACTCAATATTATGATTGCCTTTTTTTGTAATAGAAACAAACTTATATAAAATAAATAAAATGTATTCTAAAATATGGTCAAGAATCTTTTTTATCAATTAGACAGTTTCCAATAATAATTTTGATAATCTATTTTTCTATAATGTGAGATAGAGATATATTTATTTTTGAAAATACTAATAACATAAACATATTTATATTAATTGTACTAGAAAATGGAAGGTATACTTTATTTCTATCTAGAAATCTTTAAATCACCCTCTAATAAATTCTTTATTATAAAATACAAGACAAGAGGACAAGCTGACTAAAGTCTAAATAATAAAGTCATTTTTATATAAAAGAGATTTGATTAGTAATTAAGAAATGCAGCCTAAGTATGTGAAGAGGTAGGAGTGTTTTTGAGTTGTTTGGATCAAAGATCATTTATTGCTTTTGGTACAATTTAGAATGAACCAACAGATTTTGATTATCTTACCGTATTACTAAAAGTTAAATCTTTAGGAAGAATAATAGCAAAATTTAAGTAAATTACAAGAATTTTTCTAATCTTTTGTGAAAGTTGAATGGATATTTAAAGGTGTACTTAATTTTGAGAAAACTCAAAACATCAAAAATGATTTAAATGAAATGAAACCAGTCAATCATTGTAAAGATGTTTAAGAATTAACATGTTAAACAGCAGAATAAGTAAGTAATAATGAATTATTCAAAGTTATTATAATTGCTTTAAAAATCAAAACCTTATAAACCTTAACCTTAATAGGATATTAGAATACCACGTGAATTTAATAAGATTTTAAGAAAAAATTTTGAAGAAAATGATAGTGATAGATAAAAAAGTAGTAAAAGTAGAAGCCGTAATAGAGAAAAGAAAGATAAAGATAAAGACAAAGATAGAAGAAAATCTAGTAAAGATAGACAAAAAGAAAAAAAAAATTATGACCGTAGAAGTAGAGAAAGAAGAAGCAAAGATAGAAAAAGTAAAGAAAAAAGTTAAAGAAGAAGTAAAGAGAAAAAAAAAAAAAGTCATGAAAAACAAGAAGATAAAAGCCACAATATTTCAGAGTTTGTTATTGATGATAGTATTCTAATACATAATAGATAATAGATAAGGAAAAAGATTTGGATAGAGAAAAAGAAAGACAAATAAGAGAAAAAGAATAATAGAAAGAAAAAGATCATCGAGAATAAAGAGAAAGAGAGAGAGCTAAAGAATAAAGAGAATAAAGAGAAAGAGAGAGAGAAAAAGAACAAGAAAAAAAAGAGAGAGAAGAAAAAGAGATGTTAGAAAAATAAAAATAGAAAGAAAAAGAAAAAGAAAGAGAGAGAGAAAAAGAAAGAGAAAGAGAAAAAGAAAAAGAGAAGGAAAAGGAAAGAGAAAAAGAGAAGGAAAGAGATAGAGATAGAGATAGAGAAAAAGAGAAAGAAAGAGATAGAGAAAAAGAGAAAGAAAGAGATAGAGATAGAGATAGTAATAGAGAAAGATAAAGAGATAAAGATTATAATAGAAATAGAGATAAGTATGATAAAGGAAGATATGATAAAAAAGATGAAAGAGATAGAAATGATACAAAATATGATTATGAAAAAAAATAAAAGGAAAAAGATAGAGAAAGAGATAGAGATAGAAATAAATCTAAAGAAAGATCATTTGAGAGATCTGATAGAAAGGATAGAGATAGAAAAAGGGAGAAAGATAGAATGAGAGGTGGTGAAAAAGAGAGAGATAGAGAATATAATAATAATAAGAAATATAAAGAGAATAGAAAAGATACAAAGAAGCGCAGTGAGGAGAGATCTAAACCTCGATCTAGAAGTGAAGATAAACGTTAAGGTCATAACACCAATAAAAATAGAAAAGCCACTGAGATTGTTTCATAAAGCGAACAGCCAAGAGATTTCTAGTACCAAAAATTAATAAAATAGTTCATCTGTGTCATTATCTTCCCATAAATAAGAGTAAGACTAACAAGAAGTTGTATTAGAATAAAATTCTAAGCTACCTGAATAGAAAGACCAAGTTGATCTAGGAATTATTTTGAATGTATTTGACTCCCCAAATAAAAATGCTTAATAATTTCAACCTTTAATTTAACCAGTTATAATTACCTAAACTGAATAAGTAGTTTTAATTAAATAGAGTGAATCATAATAATCTAATAATCTGAATAGTGATTCTAAGAAGAAAATTTTATTATTGAATCCAGAAAAAAGTTCATCCATTTCTGATAATTTTGAATTACAAAATTAAAAAAGTTCAGGTTCTATGAAAATTATAAAAGATGCTCCTGGAAAACTGATATAATAATAAACGACTCAACAATCTTAAATAAAAAAATCAGGAATAATTTAAGACTCTAAATAAGTATTCTTTATTAAATATTCAAAGGGCAGTGGAAATTAGATAAAAGATAGGATAATACTAAAAAACAAATGAGAATTAAATTATCATTCAAAAATAACTTATATTATATATATACATATCTTAATAATATTTTTATATCATAAAATTTCAAATTTGTTTTACTTAATGCAAAAAGTTTTATTAATTTATATAAACTCTAACTACAATACCATATAAAAATAGTATGAAGGAAAGTGAACCTTTAGAATGCTAATTTGAAGATGATTCAAATAAAAGATTATTGCCTAAACCAATTGATTATATTGACAAAAGTTATTCTTTAGAAAATGACATGGTTTTAGGATGGGTTCCTTTATTATCTCAAGAGGAAATAATAAATATATAGTTCTGCAATGAATTGAATGATTAAATAATTGAATATTACAGTCAGAATGATCCAAATAAAATTGTTTATCTAGGTTATAGGCCAAATGATGCAATGTAATTTCATAAATAATTCTCTGCTTAATCTAATTATTCATACAAAAATACAAAAAATATTAAAGTCAAATCATCTCAAAATTAATAGATATTTGTAGGTATGAATCCAAATAATGATTATCAAATAAAATTCAATTCTTTATTTGAAAGTGGAAATTTGGATATTGCAATTTAGAAATCTGAATTTGAATATGATTTATATATGAGAGTTGATACTAATACTAAAGGTCATACACTTTGGTATTATTTTGAAGTAACGGGTTTGAAAAATTTCGAATAAATCAAATTTAATATTTGTAATTTCCGTAAGAAAAGAAGTTTATATGAAAGAGGAATGAAACCTTATGTGAAAAGAGATTCTTAAGATTGGTAGTAGGAGGGCGAAAATATAAAATATGGATCTTATAAATGTTAATTAAAAGAGATTAAAAAATAATATTATTGTCTAACATTTACTATAATGAATAAAAAAAGAGATGATAAAATAAAGTTAGCCTATTGCATTCCCTATTCTTTAAGTAATTTAAATAATTTCTTAAAAACTTTAAATTCCTAGTATATGGAATAATCATTTTTTTGCTATTCATTAAGTGGGGTTTAAGTTCCAAAGTTAACATTTTCAAAAGGAAACATCATAAAGAAGAAAGTAATTGTAATTTAAGCAAGAATTCATCCTGGAGAATCAAATTCATCATGGGTTATGTAGGGTTTACTAGAATATTTAAGTTCAAATGAAGCAGATCAATTATTAGATTAGTAAATAATAAAATAATAATAAGATTAATATTTGTGATAGTACCTATGATGAATGTGGATGGTGTAATATTTGGTAATTATAGAACTGGTTGTGCAGGAAGAGATTTAAATAGATAATTTAGAGAAGATTGCAAGAAATTGTATCCAACAGTATATGCAATGAAATAATTGATTTCTGATTTGTATTAAGTATATGGAGATTAAATTATTGGTTTTATAGATATACATGGACATTCAGGTATGATAATTACCTTTTATTAGAGCCAAAAAGAATGTATTTTTATATGGACCAGAATTTTAATTATGGAATTGTAACTATTATAAATCAAGATTATTTGCTAAAATTTTATCTCATAAAACTTAGATATTTCGTTATTATTCATGTTTATTTAAAATAAATAAATGTAAAATTAATACTGCAAGAGCTGTTTTTTGTGAAAAATATGATTTCATTAATTGTTTTACTCTAGAAATATCAAATAGTAGTTATTATTATGATTAATATACAGAAAATTTCACTGAATCAAAATTGATCTAGTTTGGTTATATATTTGGAGAATCATTCAAAGATTTTATTATTCATTTTTAAGAGATAGATGCTCTTTTTTGTGAATTTAAAGATAAAAAATTAAATAAATAAATAAAAAAAAAAACTAATACTTAAGATGAAAAATAACTAATTTTATAGAATATTTGTTAAAATTCTAAATATTCCAAATTATTTGAAGAAATGAAGAATGATTCACCTAATTTATCTTTCTCAGAGGGATAGTCTGATAGTGAAAGGGAGTCAGATGATTTAGATGATGAAATCTTAAATAATATAATTCTAACAACAAATAAATAAAAAAAAATCTAAAAATCAAAAAAAACATTAAAATTAAATGATTATAAAAAACAATCAATTAAAAGTGAAAATACTTCAACAGTAACAAAAAATTCTGTGCTTTTAAGTAAAAAATAATTTTTAGAAGATTAATCAAATCATATATTTCATTAACCTTAAAATTAAAATGTTTATCGAAGAACTGCTTATAAATCATATTAAAAAGAGGAAAAATAAAAAGACAATTAAACATTTACTTTGACAAGCAAATAATCAACAGAACTTAGTAATATGAAAACCTTTAGAGCATAATTCGTTGGAAGAGTATAAACTAAAATTGAATAAACCAACAATTATATTAGAAATAAATCTCCAATCAAATTAAAAACTTTAATACATGAAGCTTAATTAAAGGGAAACTCAGAAATAAATTGCGATATTTAGGAGGATTTGGGTGATGTAATTTTTTAACCTTATATTAAAAAACCATTATTGAACCAAAAAAATAGTACAAACATTAAGTTTACAGGAAATCATTTTTCTCCTACTCAGGATTTAATGCTTCAAAATGATTTGAATAATAAATAAGATAATCATTTTCCAACTGAATAAGGTTGTAACTATAAAGTTACTGCAATCTATCATGGGATAAATAAGCATTAAAAATAATAATCTCATAATTATAGATTAAATAAAATGCAAAAGTTATAAACAACTTAAAATCCTTCAATTAATTTAAGAAATACTTTATAAGTATAAAAATGGGGAATAACAGAAGATTCTTTTGGAATAATTATTAAGCCTAAACTATTTTCATCCCCTTAGATTGATGAACTATAAGGTTAAATAGAACAATCAAAAAGTTCAATGAATTAATATTAGAATTCATCTATTAGTTCAAAGCCTTAAAAATAATCTATTCCATCTTCATTTTATTCAATTAAAAAACATTGGACCAATACAAGGGGAATTCAATAATACCTTAATTTAAATAATTGAAAATTAAATTTAACTTTTTGTTTATTATAAAAATTTTGATATATATTAATTTGGTCACACTTTTGAAAAAAACTTTTTTTCTTAATTTATTCTTTCTAAAGAGGGTTTTTGCCCTGAAACCTTATAAAAATTTTGTTTTTGACTTAACATTTACCGAGATCTAGGATTATTTTTTACTGATTAAATCAAAGGAATGATATCTTAAGATTTTGCAGACCTAGATTTTATATAATTTTTAATACCTTCCTTAACTATGATATGAGGCAACACATGGAGTATTTGGTTATAAGTTAGTATGAGAAATCCATTCTTTATAAATAGATTTGGTTTAAGCTTCTTGAGGAGATTCATAATAAAAAGAAGAACCAAAAATAACAGGTAGATTCATTGATTTACCTTAAGCAATTTTCTTTCTAAAATCTTATTCCCCTCTTTATGATTCTTTTTCATCTAAATTCATTTTTAAAGGATCAGGTTTAAATGGAGGTTTAACTTTCTTTAATGCCAATAATTTAAAATCAATTTAAGAGAAAAAAGGATGTTTCAAAATTTCTTATACTCCTCCATTAGAACCTAGTCTCTAAGTAGGATTTTTTTCAAGTAGAGCAATTAGTAAAGATTTGACTTCTCTTGATAAATTCAACTATAGAGATAATTAATAAATTTACATCATTAGGAAATGTCAATTTAGAGTAAAGAATATCTTAATAAATTTAATTAGTATTAGTTGAATAATATGGAGGTAATCCTGTAAGTAGCTCATAAAGTAATGCTCCTAAACAATAAAAATCAACAGTTTAGGAATGACCAAGTTTCATTAACATTTCTGGAGCCATATATTCAGGAGATCCACAAAAACTATATGCTTTTTCTTCTCTTCCAATTTCAGGTTTACTTAATCCAAAATCAGCTATTCTTACATGACCTTCAATATCCATTAAAATATTCTCTGGTTTAATATCTCTATACAAAATGTTAAGAGAATGAATCTCTTATAAACCCTTTTAATAATAATATTTATAAATTACAAGACAAATTTCAGATATATAAAAGCAAGCTTATTCTTCACTCATTCTTTTAATTTATTTAAGTTAAAAAAAGAGTTCACCTCCTTAACAAAATTCCAAAACAAAAACAACAAATTATCTCGATTCAAATGCATATGATAAATGTAATAAAAAGGGACTATTAAGTAGAGTCATTATATTTCTTTCATTAAGAACAATTTGTTGTTTCTTTTTAGCTATTATAAATTCTTTATCAATTAATTTTAAAGCATAGAATTTTCCTGTATCTTTCTTTCTAACTAAATAAACTAAAGAAAAGCCTCCAACCCCAATATTTTTGAGAAATATAAAATCTTTCAAACCAACTTTTGGTTCGGGAGATGCCTATAAGAGAAATGCTTCTAATTTCAATCCAGTATTCATGAACACATTAAATGATAAATCTGGTTAGGCTATATAATAATCTATTGAAATTGAATGCTATTAAGATACAAAACTAACAATTTAATTAACTGATGGTTTGTCTTTAAGATTAGCATAACATTCTTATGGATTTGCAAATTCTAAATCATGCAATCTTTGTAAGATTTAATACCAGATCTATCTCATATTCAGACTAAAGAAATAATTTAAGAGAAATACTGAGATTCAAAATAAAAATAAAAGTCTTAATTTCCAAATCTAACAACAACATTATGATGTTTAATTTATTGCATTTATTCATCTGGACCTAAACTTTTAGCTTTTCCTAAAATTGAAGCTGGATTGCCCATATCAGTTTTAATAGTTCTTTTAACTGACTCCATTGCTTCAATAGTAACAGATTATGCAGAACGCTTTTATTGAGCACCTTAATTGTTAACGAAATTAGCATTAATGAAGAACTTATTTTATTATGCAATAGAGTTCTATGTAGATCTTTAAGTTTATTTGCTCAATTGTTATTTCATTCGAATATCATTCTTTTTCTGTTTATATAAGTAAAACTTTTCTAAAGCATTATCTGGTATTTAATCTATTGATTGTTGCTTATTTTGTGAGGTTTTCCGATGACTTGAAGTTGTGTTTATTTAATTCATTTAACTCTTTCTTGAGAATGAATCTTATGATCCTATTCTTAATACACCTTGATGTTGCATGTTAAATTTTGTAGTTTAATTTAATAAAATTTAAGAAATACAATATATAAAATAGATTGTTTTGAATATGAATAAAGAGAATTTTCAAATATTTTTATAAAAATAGTGAATCTTATAAAGAGAAGCATTTCATTTATTTCAAATTAAAATAATAACAATGGATGTTACATATATTAATTTTTAGAACTTAAAAATATAACAGCTGAAATTAGAAAATTCTAAAAAAATGTGTACTCAAAATCATGATAAAGTAAGATACTAACTAATTAATCTCAAACACTCCATGATTGATAAATTAATAGTGATGAAAATTCTTAATTAATTTAAAAAGTCTAAGAAGCTTTGTTTTAAAATGAATGATGACCTTATTAATTTGAACTTGACAACTTGATATGGTGTGTTTCTGATACTAGTTGATGGGGAATATCTTATTTAATTATATTATAATAACAAATCAACAATCAGATATCTAATGTTTATTTGATTTAGATGACAAACTTTCCATTGATCTATTTGTGGAACCTTTAGCTAAGAATTCATCAGCCATCTTGTTCCAAAAGTATGCTGATTTTATTACTACTCTGTCTACAATTGATATTTTTTTAGGAATTATGAGGATTGATGTTTGATCCTTAGTTGTTGTATTGAGTCTTGATTACCAGAAGCTTAAAGAATTCTCGATGATATTATCCATAGATGTAATTTAATTTCTATAAATTATATTATTATAATTAATACTTAATGTGTAATATAAATGATAATTGACATTCTAGAATGAGAATAATTATGTGGATAAGTTATACATAAAGAATAAAAAAATTAAATGAGATTTTATTTCAATTTGTGGTATAGATTAATTTGCCTTTATTATTATCCAATATATAATAATAATAATAAATAATTATTTTATTATTTATAATTCTTAATGATGAGACATTTGATAAAGTGACTATGATGATCTTGATCTAATCTTCTCTCTGAATTCAGAAGTGAATAATTTGTATATATAATAATTTTATATATATAATAATTAACAATGGAATAATAGCCACTTAGCAATAATAGAGTAAGAACTCACTTTAATAGACAATTAGTAAAATATAGAAGAAGACTAATTAACCTAAAAAAGGGAATTAACATCTTATGAAGCTTGCCTTGATTGTTGTGGAAATGTTTCTGGATGTTTAAGAGTATTACCAAACAATTAAATTTAAGGCTTGGCTCCCATGTATATTTTGTTGTTGTGAAAATCCATTCTATGCAGTCTAATAGAGTTCTGTTGGTCTAGTTGAGAAGTTTGGTAAATATCACAGAAGTTTGCCATCAGGTTTAAATTAAATCAATCCTTGCACTGTAATTTTAAGCATATTATGTAAAAGGATGCTGTAATACCAGTGGATTTAAGAACAAGAGTATTAGATTTAGATCGATAAATCATTTTAACAAAGGATAACATATAAGTTAATATAGATACATGTATGTATTTTAGAGTTATTGGTATGTAACTGATATTTAAACACTAATAAAGACCCTGTACGTGCAACATATAGAGTATCTAGATTAACTCAATCAGTAAAGGATATGACATATGCAGCTTTAAGATAGGTTTGTGGTGAACACTAATTGTAAGATCTATTGGAACATCGAGAAATGGTTTAAGATTCAATAGAAGCATATTTAGATAAATAAACAGAATAATGGGGAATATATATTGAAGAAGTATTCATTAAGGATATGGTATTAACTCCATAAATGTAATCTGATTTGGCAGCTGCAGCAAAAAACAAAAGAATTGCTTAAGCCAAAGTTATATCTGCATAAGCGGATGTTGAAAGTGCAAAATTGATGAAAGAAGCTGCCTAAGCACTTGATAGCAAGGCTGCTATGTAGATAAGATTCTTAGAAACCCTTTAAATGTTGGCTAAAGGACCTTCATAGAAATTAATGTTTTTGCCATTAAGTCCAGAATCTTAAGGAGCACATAATGGTTGAGATTATTTCTTATGATATTAAGATAAATATAATTCAAATTTTAAAATCTTAAGGAGAAATCCACTTTTCTTTCTCAATAGCCCTGAATTGATGTTAGGGTACAGATGAGTTTCTACTGATATAAGTGCATATTAAATTAGATTATGCTGGAGTACCACATCGAAATTACTTTGGTCCTATTATTTTCTTGCTTTTCTCTCTTTCTTCTTCTTGTTCAATTTGTTTTTGGGTTTTGTATACATTATCACATTAAGTTTCTATATGCATTGTATTTTATTAAGCTTTTCTTAAACTTAATTTTTAATTCCAACAATCTTTTGAACTATTACTTGAAATCTTAAATCCTCGATTTTAAGATAAAAATCCAGGAACCCAAATATGTTTATTGTTCTATTCAACTAAAGCATCATCTATTGAAGGATGAAGTAATTTCATAATCTCTCCTGAAGTTTTATGGAATTAAGGCTTTGACTCATTTACATCATCAAATTAATGTAAGGTTTAACCTTTCAATGGGGAAGTAAGACCATTTTAGGAATTAGTAAATGAAACAAATTTTCGAGATTAATTATTAGAAGTCCTAGCTGTCTATCTATATGAATTATCATTCTAAATAAAATTATAATTTATACTGATAACATCTTATCTAATTCTTTACTTGGTAATTTTTAAATTTGTTACTTGAATCTTCTCTTTCCTATTGCATTATTAACTACTACATCTAATTTATTAGACTTCTTAGCTGCATAACCAGCATGATGAAATTCTGTTATCACATTAAATTTTATTGTTTTTTGATGAGCTTAATATTTATTCTTACTCATATGTTCTAAAAATATATCCATTGCATTATCATTTTATTTTATTGATGCTATCTCTATTGGAATTGAATGAGCCTATCCTGAACATAATTTAGTTAATTAATATCCCATAAAATTCTTCAACACTACTGTTGTATCTTTGTACTTCCTTTTTATTGCAAATTATGTCCCTATAATATTGTCAGATATCTATATTATTAAAGGACCTATTTAATTATTATTCAATTTACCTTTTGTACAATCAGCTAAAGTTTAAAATGTTTTCTTAGGATTTACAAAATTAAATGGATGTACATCCCAAGAATTCTTATAAGGTACTACAAATTCAAATGGTAAATCATTAAATAAGAAATGATGCATTTGATTTTTTCTTAAAGAACAAACTATTTCATTTTCTTTAGACACATATAAAGCATCCAATTCTTTCATTCCTTTTACTTTATATTAAGGTGCTTTCATAATATACTTACCAATAGTTTTAAATTCCTCAGCAGCTTTTCTAAAATGAATTCCAGCATTTCCTTTACTTATCCATTCACCTGTATCATAATTAAATCCATACAAATCTCCTGTCACATTATCAAGAAAGAAATCTGTCTATTTAATGTCTGTTAAATCCTTTTTGATCTTAGATAGGTCCCCCAATTATCCACCATTTAATCCATTAATAACGCTTATTTACTAGTAAATATAATTATTAATACACACTCAACATTTGATGCTATTAAAAAAACTAATCCTTACATAGCAAATGATGATGCAAAAAGGATCTTATTACTTCTAAGACACATTCTAAGTAAAATTAAATACTATTATTATTTGAATATAATACTTTATATGCATTTGGAGACCATGGTCTAAGATTAGCATCTCCTTCGAAGAATATTATATCTATCGAATCAAACATCTTGCCACATTCTACTCTAACAAACGAACTATCTATCTCGTATAATAGATCATCTATAGAATCTCTATCTCTTATAATGAAATCGATTTCAGTATCTATCATCTCTTTTTTACTCAACAAAGCTTCCTTTATTATCAATTTATATTGTTCAAAATTTTTCATACCTTTATAACTCTTCCCATAACCATTTATGATTAAAATTTTCATTTTTTAATTAATATACTTCCAAATTTTATACTTTTTAGAAAATTATGATCTCACCTAAATATTTATATATCTATATAAGTAGACACATAAAGTTCTAGATTTATAAAGGTTATAGAAATTTTTAGAAAATTAAATTAAATAAATTTGATTATGTAATCATTAAATAGTTCCTCAAGAGGTATAAATTTAATAATACTAATACAGTATCAATAAAATTGATTCTGCAAATTAAATCACTGTCAACTAATTATGAAAAAACTTATACTAATACAGAGGCCAGAATCAAAATTTATAAATTATAGGAAATATTGAATTACTCATAAATAGATTAATAAGGGAAGCTGATTACAATAAAATCTACATTTACTATAAATGCATTATAAGAAAAAACGAAGTTATAGATCTTTATTGAATCATTTATTTTTGGTTATCCAAAATTCCCATTACTTAACTACATAATTTTTTTTGTTGATTGCTTCTATTTAATAATAAGTCATAGGTTTTTATAATTAATTATATTTGGGATTGTAAATAGTCTTCTGTTTTTTATATCATTTTATGATACATTTATTAACAGAATTAATTTATATTTAGGATGAGTAATTAGAGCCAGGCCATTCAATAAAACTTTTAACAAAGTAAAAATGTCCTTCTGATGGAATAATAGTTGGAACCAATTGGGTTTCTGAGAATATTCCAATTTAATAGATAATAGGAGGATAAACAATAACATGTAGAGCATGAATTGCAAATTTTAGTATCGCAAAATAAGTTAAAGAAAAATTAGATTTTGATTTTGAAGATAAAAAAAGTTCGTGTTAGTATGAAAATGGAAACATGACAATTCAGTCTTGATTTCTAGTATGTGAATATCATCTTATTTTTAGACAAAAAAGCAAAATAAAAATATTATTGACCAATCGTTTACTTGATGAAAATCTTCAACATTGTAATTGGTTAGATTCTGAAAGAATAAAAAGTTGAATCAAGTTCTGCTTAAGACAAAACTAAAATGAATCCTAAATTATGGATTTCCTTTACATATTCAAAATATCATAATAATATTATTTAAACTTTTATTATCAGTAATCTTATTGGATGCTCACTTCATAAAAACTAAATATTTGTATTTAGATAATAAAATAACTAAAGGATATGTATGTACTTTCAGTTGGGTGATTCTTGTAATGTAAATACCTCTATCAATAGAATTACTAAATTCTAGGCTGAACATGATCGTTTAAAACAGTAAAAATTATATATGTAAATTTTATAGTGTTGATATATCTGGATAGAAAGTTGAATTATAAATAGTAATACATTAGCCAATATGGCAAGAGCCAAATAAATTCTAACAGATTTAAAGTTATTAACTAGAAAAACATATATAGTTAATAATAATAATATCTTATTAAATAAATTATCTAATGAAATTAACTTAAATGATATAATAGTATTTTGAGAACCAAAAACTTAGAGATGGATAAAATTATATCATATGGTATAGGAAAGAAGAATTAGAATAATAAGAGGATATTGTAAATTTTAAGAAAGTACTTTGAATTAATTCTAGAATTTTGTTAATTTAATAGTTAAATAATACTATATAATATTAATGTCGTAAAAAATTAATTATATTTGGTTACAAAACTCATTCTGATATTCATACTCATAATTCATTTATCATTTTTCTAACATCTGCATGAGTTAATTTCCTTGAGCTTATCAATAATTTGGCTAGATCCATAACATTTTTATAATGAGTGAATGAAAAATCAGTGCTTTTATTTTTAACAAACTTATTAGCCCAAGTATCAAATAAAGATAAAACATCCTCTGCATGATTAGCCATTACAAAAGTTTTTGCATAATGATTTCTATTTTTTGGTTCTCCTGGAAATGCAATAACTAAATGTAATAAAATAATTCCTATTGCATAAAATTCATCTGCCATTCCATAATGAGAATCTTTAACATAATTAGCAGTCTAATAACCAAAAGTACCTGTTGTAATTGTATTTTAAGAAGTAATAGAATTCAATTCTTCTTAAGGAAGTCTCTCATCAGTCATTGTAGATAATTTTTCTTCTCTAACATCTTTTCCCTAATCAAAATCTGCTAAAACAACCTAACCAGTTTATTTTTATTATATTTTACTTATAAATCCCCTTTAATATTAATTGTCACAAATATATTTTCAGGCTTTAAATCTCTATGTATAATACCTCTTTAATGTATATATTCTAGACCATCTAATATTTGATTTAAAATAGATTTAATTTTATTGATTTTTTCAGTATTATGCATAACATTTAAATAATAATAAGAAAATGTTAGCAAATCTGTTGGTTGATATTTATATCCAGGGAATGAACAATATTCAAGTTACATATATAAATAATAACCATCGTTAGTTTATTCTATCCACCAAGCAAAAAGTCTTAGATCAAACTTAAATTAAATACCTTAAGATATTTGGATGAGTCAATTTTGATAGGATTTTGGCTTCTCTAATTTTTCTAATATCTGGGGTTATTGGTGTATTAGATGCTGTTCCAGAAAAAACAGAAAAAAAATCGAGTTGAGTTGCTTACAATTTGCTCTATAATTAAAATTATCATAATTGTTACTCTTTTCAATGCATATATTTAATCATCTTCTGGCCTATATACAAAGAAGATTGATACACCACTCCTTAATTCATCTTAATTGGTTTAAGATAATATTATGTAGTCATTAAAAAATTTGTTATTTCTAATAAAAGCACTTCGAGGATCATACTATTTTTATGCTGGTGTGATTTACTAAAGAGAATCTATTGCAAAGAATGTTAGGGTTATTTTAAGAGGAATCTTTTTAAATTACAAATTGATCTTTTTTCTGTTTATTAATTCTATTATTGACTTAAATATAAAAGCATAGGCTGTTGATTTAATCTAACCAGTTGATGTTATGAATCCAATATTAATATCTTAATAAAATATCTTTATCAATTTATCACATGCCTCTTTAAAAGTTTATTTGTTTTCAAGTTTTTACAATTACAATAAAATATTTCGAATTGCCTTCTTAATTGCTTTTTCAACATTCATCAAATGTTTAAGAAATGGATCATCATTTGTAAAATCCATTCTTATTTAAGATATTATTAACATTTATGAGTATTCTTTACACTCATTGCTTTATACAAACTCTTATCTCCTTTACAAACTATCATCCTATAATATTATTATATGATCATACTAGCATCTTTTAAATTAATGTTTAATCTGGTTATGGAACCACTTAATCAAATTATCTCTCCTCTTCTGGCACCTCTTCTATCACTTTAAACCCATAAAATTAATCAATTATTGAGTCAATCTTAGGTTTTTCATTATTACTATTCATTATAATATTAGTTATATTAAATTGAATAATAATAATATATAATACTATTAAATTTCAATACAAAATTCTTAAGTAAAACAAAGATTTTTACTATTTCTTCAATCAAATACCTAAAATCATGATAATATTGTTATTTTTTCATTCTTTTTTATTTTTTACAAGTCAAATCTAAGATTTTATTGTAATTTCTAACTTTGAAATGTCAATTAAATACCTAACTTTTATTGTATGATTCTTTTATACATTCTTTCGAAAATATTAAAACTTGATTTATTTTACAATTAATTTTAATATTTATTATGAGAAGACTAGAAAATTATACAGGAGAATAAGCTAGAGCTTATAAAAAATTTGCTTAAAAAACAAAAGGAAATAGAGATGACTTTGAAGCAGATTGTAAATAATTCATTTTATTTTAAGTAAATTTTAATGAAGCTCCTAATAAGTTTGTTAAAATTAATGAGTCTAAATAGACTTTGAAATCAATAAAAGATTAAATTGATTATTTTGGTTATGAAATAGAACCATTTAATATGAAGAATGAAAGAGATGTTGGTTAATTTGATGATGGAGGATATTTTGTATTTGATAAAGCAAAAGATAAAGCAGTAAAGTATAAATAATTTTACATTAGTGATGCTTGGTTAGATTAATTGGATTAAAGTAACATGTTCTAAGAACTTCAAGAGAAAGCTTAAGCAGAAAATTCTAAAAAGATTTAGAAATAATTAAAGGAAGCAAATAAGAATTATGAAAAAAGAATGTAGAAAATAAGGGGAGATGGTTTTTTTAGTTCAACTAAATTTGCTACAAAAGCAGAGGCTTAATAATACTATTAAAATAAATAATAAGAAAATGAAGAAGTAGAAGAGGAAGTAGAGGTAGAAGCAAATAAATAATCATAAGAAAAACCAATTGAATAGAAAGAATCTATAAATAAACAAGATATTAAGTTGGAACAATTATCAGTTGATGAATTAAAGGAAATTCTATATGAGCTTCTTGAAGTAAATGAGACTCCTACATAAGCTATGAAAAGAGTCAGATCAAAATTAGCAGATAATCAAAAAAAAGTTTTTAAGAAAAATGTTAGAAAAGATAATAATGGATCAAATTTAAAATAAAATTAGATGACTGATGAAAAATATGGTGACGTATAAGATGAAGCCAAAAAAACATTAGATTTGTTAGTTGACATATGTACTATTATAGTAAAGAATTCAAATGATCCTTCAATCTATAACATTAAAAAAGAGGAATTAGCGCCTCAAAAAGTATCTCGCCTAGAAGAAGATGATATATTTTGAGGATTAATTCTAATATTATTTTTTAGAATTATTTTATTTTGATAATCAATTATACTATTATTTTCTTATAATTATTTTAAAACATCGATAAGTTTTTAATGACTCTCAATATTTTTATTAATTTTGAGACAAGAAAATTTTTTTAATTTTAGAATCAAAATAATATTTAAGTTTGTGATTAAAAGGATGATAAGATTCTCAACAAAAAAAGATATAATTTTGAATTGAAATAATTAAGTTCAAGTTATAGCCTAATGATAGAAGATTTTTAGTAAAATTTATTAATCTAAAAATTGATTAATTATACTATTTCTTACTTGATGGATAATATTTGTTAGTATATTTTATTATAAAATTGATAAAAGCTATGTTGTTGAAATAAGTTGAATAAAGAAATCAAATAATTGAAGAATATTCTAAATTTTGTAGAAAAAGTTTTTGATTGTGGAATAAAGAAATTAATTAATGATTAAAAAAAAAGAGAAAATTCAAAAAAATGAAGAGAACTTAAAATAATTAAGAAATTAAAATGTTGTAGATATAATAAATACTTACATTCATGGTATGATAATTTAGAAAGAAAACAACATACTAATTAATGATGATAATGAAATATTGTTTTATTATAAATTTTCTTTAATTCTATCCTTATATCAATCAAATAAGAATCTCTTTTTACCAATTTAAGCTTAGCATGCAGGACAGAAATGAATTGCATCTTTACAATCTTAGACAAAACATGGAATAAGACAACATCTATTGATTGAATTTAAAAAATACCCTAACCAAAGGCCAACAGCTGCCAAAAGTCCACCTATTGCATAAGCTCCAGTTCCTACTTCATATGTAACCTGTGTTTAAACTTATCTTTAACAGCAAGCACATGTTGTGAGATGAGGGTATTTAGTATAAACTGGTTATGCTTTAAATAAAATTTGATTTGATACCTTATTAGAAAGCAGTAGGATGGTAAACAATCTATTATTATTATTATTATTATATTTATTATGGATATGGTTATGGTTATGGTTAATATTAAATCTATCTGACATATTGTTGAGCTGGAACTATTGGTTGGATTGGTTAACCAATTTAAACATTCTATTGAGAAAGTTATGGATACACAACCTAAGAAACTGGTCCTTCATAAGGAGTATTGGTCATTTCTTAAGGAAGTTTTACATGTTGATTATTCTACATTTTTATAGTTTAATTATTTATCTTTAATCAAATGTTTTATATTATCTATTTATTATCATTATAAATTCTGAAACTATCTTGAGATTTATAATAATTATGATTTTAAATATAAGTGATATAAGTATTTCTTATTTTTGTAATTTTTATGTCTTTGAAACAAACATCTAACAAAACGTAGAATCAATTATTTATAGATAGAAGTTTATTTTTAAAAAAAAAGATTAATTCTTATTAATTTAACAACAAAGAAGACATAAAATTTCTTATATTATTCTTTCTATTTAAATAAAGAGATAAACTTGTATAGTTATTTATATTATTGAATAATGTTAACTCAACTTAAATATAACTTAATTTTTATAAATAGAAAGTGAAAGGTGATTCAAATAAGTGTATGTAATGTAATGATATTAATCTCAATATATTATTAATAATAGACAACATTATTGATATGCAATTGATGAATTTACTTATGAATTTGTAAATTAATGTTAATTATTATTATTTGTAATATTTTGATGTCTAGACCTCGATTACCTACAGTCCATAATGATGCATCTTTAAATAAAGAGCCAATTGAGATTGTATATGCTATAGCAAATAGATATCATACTGATTGGGGATTGAAAGAAATGCCTGATATGAAAATATATCCAGATGTTTGCAAGGTCAAAAGATTAATTAGTAATAAGCGTGAATATTAATTTAGCCAAACCTGTTAAACCTCCAAAAAGAGGAACTTTTATTGAAGATTTATAAGAATATCATTCAAAACTACCTGGACCTAAATATGAATATTAATCATTTTGGTCAGAACCTAATGATCATAAGAAACCAAAAGAATCAAGCAAATATGCTGAGTAAAACTAAAGAAAAACAGTAATCTCTGATATTATATCTGATGAAAAACGATATCCTAGACCTGGACCTGCCGATTATAACAAAGAGTTCAAATCCAAAAGTATTGAAAATGAACCTATTATTTCTTAGAGATTAAAGTATGTATTATATATAAATAAGAACATAACACAGAACTAATTATTTTGAAGATCTTATAAGTTAATAAATAAGTATTCCAGGACCTGGAGCTTATAATACTCCTTCAAGAGTAGTTAGTGAACATGTTATTAAAAAAACAAAATCTAGATCTCCTGTAGTTCATTATCCTGGTCCTAATAGTTATTCACCAGATGATCCCACTTATTTTACTTTTGATAAAAAGTTCAAAGAATAATAAATCAGCCGAAAACCAATTAAAAATCTAAAAAAATAAAATAATAGTAGGCCTGGTCCTGTTCTAGGTTAATCAGATTGGAATAAGGGATGGATGTCTAAAGTTAGCAAAGCTCCTTAGTTCTCCATTTATTATGATCACTGATTAACAATAACTATAATCTAATTTATTTAAGTAAACTTTACATAAAATTAATATACATATTAATCTTTTTTTTACTTATTAATTTGATTTTATTTGATAATTTATTATTTTATGCATAATAATATATTTCTATTCATTCAAATAATGCTCCAATAGATACAAGCAATCCATTTCCACTTAAACTTCTAACTCTTTTATTTTCATCTATTTTGAAAAATGTTTCATCATGATCAGATTATTAAAATCCTATAAGTTGATTTTCTAAACTTTATTCCGTAAATAATTTAAATTTTATATCTTGATTACTTTTTATTTCTAAACTATAACATTCTCCCTCTTTTAAATACACATTTTCTGGCAATCCGATTTCATAAGAATCATTCACTATTTTCATTTAAGAATGATTCACAACACTTTTCCAATTATACAAATTTTTCTCTTATAAATTCCTATCCACATTTAAATGATTCATACATATTTTTAAATATTGAAAATTCTAATTCTACTTGTGAATCTTGATAAGCTTTCTCTAATTAAGAAATATTTAATTTTGTTAGCTTAATTGTATATTTTGGATACAACATACTAACATTTACTATTTAAGCATTCAATTCAATCTCTTTGTCACTTAATTTCTCAAATCTCTTTAAATTTATTTCTATTGGAGCAACAACGGATTTAAATGAATTGAATATATTTATCCATTCTATTCTTAATTCTTCAATTTTTTACTTACATTTATTTTAAAGTTCATTCAAATCATTTTCACCATCCTCTCCAATTTATTATAATTTATTGTCTATATCATTCAAATTCTCAAACATTTATTGTACTTTTTTCTTTAAAATGTACTCCAAAACATTTAATTAGTTAAGGATATCATTTTTAAATTCATCAAACTTACTTAATATTTCATTGCATTAATATGCTCCTTTTTATTTAATGCAATTATTTTTGATAAAAGTTTCTACATCTTCAATTGAAGCCAATTCACCTTTATGATTTTTATGAAATTCTTCTATACAAGTTAAACAAACCTTTCTTTTGTCGCAATCTTTATTAAAACAAACCAAAATAATAGGTTTACTATCATGATTCACTTCTTCACACAAAAGTTTTTAAACTCTGTTTTAGAAATTTGACATTTTATTTATATAATAATATAAATAATTATTAATTTATTTTATTTCATAATACAAATGAATCTAACATTAATATAAAATGGTAAATAATTATTCAAAAAAATGCAATTTATAAATGAATCAATGATTGAAGATAATCCAGAGGATAATGAAAGTTCTATTATTTAAAATGATTTACGAAATCATATATATACAGGTTTTTCTAATAAACTATTTCATTCTTCTAATATAATTTTATTGAATTAAGAAAATGAATTTTATAATTAAGAGCTAGAAGAATTAAAAAATTTTAAATAGAGCACTAATTTTACAAAAAAAAGATTCCATTAATCCATTAGATAAAAAGAAAAAAATATATAAGCAAGGTGAAACAAAAAATATCCCTAAAAAGGAGATTTGAAAAAGTTTATTGAAAAAATATTGAAGAACAATACAATAAAAAATTTTTTTGATAATCAGAATGATTTAAATTGTTTGGATTTGAAAAGTATTCCAAATGCATCATAAATTAATAAGAATACATTGAAAAGATTTTTATCAACAAAATTGGGAAGTTTATTTGGAAAATTATACTTTGGGTAATGTCCTTGGGCATAATATTTTGTAAAGCGAAATAAAACAAAATCTTCATTATAATCATAATCTCTTTTATTATAGAATGAGTGAATAAAAAGATCAGCAATCAAAACTAAGAAATTTATGATTAGTCTTTTTAGAATGTATTTGATTTTTCTAGATGAGATCATTTAAAAATTAATTGAGATTAATACAAATTATAATTTTAAGATTATTTTTATTAATTTCTCTATAATAAAAATACATTAAGGAGTACTTAGATAATTTAAAAATTCCAATAAACAGAGGAATTATTAAAAAATAAATTTAAACTGAATTAAAAAGTTTATGGTAATTTGGAAGTTTTTTGAAAATTAAAAAAATTAAATTTATTATGAAAATTGCTTGAAATAAATAAATATATATATAATATATAGATAATAATGCTAATAAAGTAATTTGAGATAGAGACAAAAAAGTTTATTGATGAATTAAAAAATGGTAATAGTAATATCCTGGTAAATAATTTGAAATAAACTAAAAGGTAGCAATTAGAGTTAGACCTTTGAGTTAGAAAGAGAGAAGTTTATCAGAGTTTGAGACAATTAGAATTTTGGATAATAAGATGATAGTTTTATTGGATCCTGAATAAGAGAGAGATGATGATGTAAAGAGATTGATAATAATAGTTATTAAGAAAAAATAGACTAAAAGAAACTAATTTTGCATTTGATTTTGTTTTTGATCAATTTGCTTCTTAATAAATGATATATGAGAATACAACAGAATTTTTATTAGAAGGAGTATTAGAGGGTTATAATACAACAGTATTTTGTTATGGTGCAACAGGTTCAGGAAAAACTTTTACGTAATTAGGATATATAATAATTAGAATGATAGGTACTTAATAGGAAATAGGATTGATGCCAAGAGCATTATCATAGCTTTTTAATTATTCAATTTAAGATCGATTTAAAGATACTTAATTTAAAGTTTCTTATGTGGAGATTTACAATGAAAACATAAGAGATCTACTAACTTCAGAAGATAAAAATTTAGAAATAAGAGAAGATAAAAATAATGGGATATAAATAGCAGGTGTAATAGAAGTAGATGTTAAAACAGTTTCAGAAGTCTTGGCTCTTTTAAAAGTAGGTAACAAAAACCGTTCTAAAGAGGCAACGGATGCAAATAAAGAATCCTCAAGATCTCATGCAATTTTATAACTATAAGTTGAAAGCAAAGATAAAGCTGCCGGAATATAAGAATAAATTATTTAAAGTAAATTTAGTTTAGTAGATTTGGCTGGCAGTGAAAGAGCAGCTAATACAAATAATAAAGGATAAAGAATGATTGAAGGAGCTAATATTAATAAATCATTATTGGTGTTAGGAAATTGTATTTAATCATTATCAGAGGCAAATGAAAAAGGCATTAAAAATCCATTTATTCCTTTTCGAAATTCAAAGCTTACTCGTCTTCTTAAAGATTCTTTAGGAGGAAATTGTAGAACAGTAATGATTTCAAATGTCACTCCTTCAGTTAGTTGTTTTGAAGAAACTTACAATACTTTAGTTTATGCTAATAGAGCTAAAAATATAAAAACAATTGCTAATCGAAATGTTTTAAAGGCATAAAATCATATAAGCAATTATGCATAATTGATTTAAAATTTAAGATAGGAAAATGAAGAATTAAAATTGTTAATTTAATAACAATAATATAATTTAAATGCTCCATAATTAAGTATTATTTTAAATATAAATCATAGAACTACCATAAATTAATTAAAAAAATCATCCTCTTCCTTAATTATCTCTAAAGTAATAAATTAGTGAATTAGAATCCATTATTAATCAAAATGTTGATGAAATTACAGATACAAAAAATAAAATATATCAAATGGAAGAATAATAAAATCAATATTAATAAAATATTGGATTTCTATAATTCTAAAAAGGAAGAACATCAGATAAATTTGAATAAGTGAGATTACAAGAAAGAATTGATAATGCTAAAAATTAAAAAACCATAATCAGAAGAAGCTAGGATGATTTAGAATAATAATTATTAGAATTTGAAGTTTAAAAGGTTGATATATAAAAATAAATATAATAAATATAGGATTCTAATTATAGAAATTATTTATATGGAATCATGAAATAAGGTGAATTTAAAATTGTATAATATCATTAATTAAATTTTTAGGAAACTGTTGAAATTTAAATTTAAGAAAAAAAAAGAAGATATTAAGAATAAATTCAAAATGAATAAGTTAAATAATTAAGAACATAGATTAATAAATAATAAGCTAAAGTTATTTAGAGTGCTAAATAAAAATCAAATGGTCCTAAAAAAGGTATTATAAACCTTTAATATTTAATAAGTGCCAAGTTTACCAGGAGTTGATTCTCCTTTTTATTAGTTATAAGGAGGTTAAAATTATGGTGTTTAGAAGTAAATTAAATATTTAAATTAGATATTAAAAAAATAAATCTCATTTAAAATTACCACCAGTTATTTAATTAACATAAGCACATAAATCTCCAAAAACATAAAATACAACTATTAATAGTATAATTATATTTTTAAATAAGATAAAATTGATGATCCAATGAAATATAGAGTAGTATAAAAATATTCTTCTAGATTGAATCGTCCACCTTCTTATCATCCTCCCAGTTCATAAAGAAAATCTGCTAAAGGAAAATATATAAATCGTTCATTAGATTTAGGTTCAGGTAGGGAAAGTGTTAATAAGAGTTTAGGAGATATATAAAATGAAATTAGTTTGAGAAAACTTCAAAAACTACGTTAAGAATATTAATAATAAAGATTTGAAAAAGCAATGAACCATAAAAATAATTAAAAATCATTACCTTAATTTACCAATAAAATTTTACTTCCTGGAATGGTTCATAAATCTCCTTATGTTAAAAATTTTTAAAATAACAATGAACCTATTGAATTAAAAAAAGAGAGACTTAAAATATTAAATATGAATTAAAAAGAGTAAGCTGTTGATAAGTTTTAACTTTATAATTGATATAACTAATAATAATTTTATTAGTATTCTTTACTCTAGTAAAATAAGTTTTAAATTATAAAATATGAAATCAAGTTTAATTAGTTCTTAGTCCTTACATTAATTATAATAAAGCATGATTCATTCTAAGATTTTAAATTACAAAAATTCCTAAACCTTCTAAATATCCTTTATTTGAAAAATACTTAGATTGATTAAAAACATGAAATATATAAATCAAGGTCTCCTTTATGAGTAAATCCTGCAATTAGATTAACTTACTCTAAATTTAAATAATCTAATGTCAAAGTAAAATGGTCCTTTTATTGAAGGGCTATAATAATTAATTATTTGATTAGAATCTAATGATTAAGACTTAAAGAAGAATATTAAAAGAGAAAAAAATTAAAAAAAAATGAAGATAATAAAAATATTTGTAAGAAAAAGCAAAAATTTAGTATTTAAACCTTGAAGAAAAAGAAATAGATTTATATAAAGCACTTTTAAATAAAATAAAACTGAATTTATTTGTCGAATGATTGATATTTATTATTATATATTCTTATTAAAAAGGAAAGTGTAATCTAAAAATATCTGACATTTTATTTATATAATTCATTTCCATTTAGATAATAAATTAAGTATAATATTAGAAAGTAAACTAATTTGATTTATATTTTACCAATAAGAAGAGTATTTAAAATAATTGTGAATATTTAAATATTTAAATTATATTCAGAAATATATTTTAACATACATTTACCATTAGTAATAAAAATAATGGAAAAACTTATAGCAGGATATGCTGTTAAAGAGATGTTAAATTAGAAAAAATAGACCATTCCTGCAGATTAGAAATATCTATATTATGGTTGTTGGAGTACCGGTATCGCAGTAATTGCATTCATGGGTCATACAACTTATTTAAAAAAAAAATATCGTTCAAATTATCTCTATAAAATTTAAGGGAAATCATATTTAAAAGAATCACTACAGTTATATATGCCAATAATATGTAATTAATTATTAGTTTCATTTTGTTCTAATCATTAAGAAGTATTTTTATTATCTCTCTCTTCCATTGTTTATTTTTATTAATAAATGATGGAAATACCATATATTTAGTATTTGAGTGCTGCATTTACAATATTGGCTTGTTTTTTGAAATTTAAAAATTGAGTGACAATTATAAATATATATATATAAATATATAACGTAATCATTAATCTTGAATTGAGTCATCAATCATATATTCATAAGTAATTAAATTTTTAAGAATAATTATACAAATAATGAGACATTAAAGACCTCCTATCCCAAAATTCAATTATGAGTTCATTAACCTAAAAGCTGAAATGAATTTATTAGACGAAGTTCAACATCTGATTTTTAAATTGAATTTGGATTTTGAGATAGAAAAAAAAGCAATTCGAATAATAAAATAAACACCATTACCTAATAACCAAACAGCAGCACGTGCAGTTATATTATATTGCTTAAAAGATTTTGGAAAGAAATTACCCAAAGTTGATAACAAATTAGAATAAATGATCAAATATATAGAAAAAAAGCAGGCCAGTAATTTCTCATTTATTTGTTAAAAATTGGGATTTTGTGATTAAGTTTGTTAGATTTGTGAAACCTTAAAGAAACAATTAAATTAATTAATTGGAAGATTAGAATAAAATTTGTAAGTAGCTATGACAGTAAAAATAGCTGCTGATATTATTTTCTTATAATATGGAGGATTAAATACTCGAATATTATCAGATATTACTTAGGTTAATGAAGAGAAACTAAAGTCATCTCTTAATAGAATTACTCCATTCTCGGAAAAGATCATATCAGATCTAATGAATCATTATAATGAAGATACTCTCTGAAATTTATTATTATTTTTAATTATAAATTATTATTATATAATATAATTTATAATGAATATTTCTCTTTTAAATCAATTATTATTTGATGATATCATCTAGCAGAAAATTCTTTTGAATCATTATTTTTCCTTCCATTTTAATATGTAGAGTTATATGCACATTTGTTACTAAATTTACAATATGATTTACAAGAAGAAATCTATGTCTAAATCAACACAATATCCATCCTTCAAACCATTTTTATTATAAATACAAGATCCACTAAATAATGATTAAACTTACATTAATTTAGTTTCATCATAAACTTACAATTTCAAAATCCATTCTCCTATTCTCTTTTCTTTACAATATTCACCTTCTTCTAAAGTATAACTAGACAATAAACAATTCCAACTTAAATCAATCCATTTTTTATTCTTCTTTCCTTAATCATCATATATACCACCAGCACTTATCTATTTGTTCAAATGACATACATTATATGATCTTCATTTTAACATTAAACATCTTTTGATATTTACCAAAGACCTTATTTAATTCCATTTTTGTATTATCCAAATTAATATAATTGAAAATACCTAAAATATTTATTTTGATAATACTCCCAAAAATTTTAGTGTGGTTCCTACCATTATCCATCTTTATTTCCAAATGTATCATATTTTCCATGTCCACTTTTATATTAAATATCTTTATACATTTATTAAAATTCATTAGTTTTGTGATTTCTATATAGAATTTCACAATTTCCAATTCTTAACCCTTTAATATATTCTGCTTTTTAAATTATTTAACGAGATCTAAAATATTATATTACAAAACCTACAAAATTATTGATCAATATCAATCCAATTTCCTACTTTTATTCCATTATCATATTTACCACCACCACTAAAAGCTTTTATTAAATTTACATTTTCACAAATTCTTAATCATAGAATTCTCTAAATGTTATATCCCATTTACCTTACTTTATTCCATCCTAATATTGTCCTTTTTTAATGACTTAACAGAAACTATTCTAAAATATATAATTATACTCTCTAAATTAATAATGTAACTCATTCCAAACACCATCTTTTTAACCTTTAAAATTAAATTATCCTTCACATCTATTTTTTTATGGATATAATTACATTTAAATAAATTAAGAACCATGAATTTTTCTATATTCTATTTTATGTTTTCCATGCTTTCTACCAAGTTGATATAAAACTATTTCTAAAACTTAGCGTGAACTATTATAAAAATAGTTTTTACTCTGAAAAATTTTCATTAACATCTTTCCATAATCCACATTTTATTCCATTTTCATCAAAATTTCCTCCACCTCTAAAAATTTTAATCTATAATAATATTACATAATTTCAAAATCTTTTCCTTCACTATATCTATATTTGATATTCCATAACCCAATTTTTTTATCTTTTTAGTAATTACCTTCAAATAAAATTTGGCAATCCCTGAAATCTAAACTTATTTTACTCTCTAAAATATTAAGAAATCTCTGTCCAAACATCACTTTTCTATCCGTATTCATCATAATTTCCACCACCACTAATATTAATATAAATATTACAGATCTTAAAATTTATCATCTTTATTTTTTCTATGAACTATTTTTTTTTTCAACTAAAATTACCAATACCCAATCTTCCTTCCAATTTAGTATTGTCCACTTTAATAAATTTCACAGTTTCTACAATAAAATCAAAATTAACTTCTTATAATTCTAACATGGTTCTCTCCAAATACCTACTTTTAATCCTTTTTCATCGTATTATCCTCCACCCCTATATTTATTATTTATCTAAATACATAATCTTTAATTTAGATAAATCTTTTGTACTTTGAATTATCCATTAACCTATTCTAATTCCATCTTTATAACTCCCCTTATAAATAATTTAATTCTATCTAAACTTAAACTATAATAATACTCACTAAAATCCAAAATTAAATCTTCCCATATACCTTATTTTACTCCATTTTCATCATAATTACCACCTCCACTTTATTCAAATATAAAAATTACATTATTTTATTGTTTTTTGTTAAAATTTCAACCCATTAAATATACCATTTCCCTATTTTTCTTCCATTTTGATATTCTCCTATTTACTTTATCAATATTTTTCTAACCTAATGAATTTCTGATACCCATAAAAATTATCTCTAATTTCTATCCATTTCCCTTGTTTCAATCCATTAAAATCAAATAACCCTCCTCCTCTAAAATATTAATTTCATTTTTCTTTACATAACTGTATCTTATGTGAGAATTTTCCATTCTCCTACCCGTTTACCTTAATTAAATGATCCAGCAAAAAATATTTTTTAATTCCTTCTTATAAATTATTATCATTACAAAATAAGTTCTAAATTTTAATTTAGCCATTTATTTTCTGAAAATTAATAATCATCATATATATAATTTTAACTAATTAATGAATAAAATTTGTTTTCATACATTTATTTAAAATAGCCATTAGACTCCAAAAAATAAAGATCTAATTCTGACTTTTATTTACTATTTTTATAAAGAATGTTCCATTAAAATTCAGTAAAACTATTATTAAGATTTTATTTTACATTAATTAGTCATATTATTCAATCCAATCTCCTATTTACCTACCTTCTTCATCATATATTCCACCACCTCTAATTAATATTAAATTATAAACTTTTACATGGTTTGCCATTATTGATCTGTATTTTCTCTAGTTTTTATATTCCATTATGAATTTTTTATTCCATTTCTATATTCACCTTCAAATATGACTTAGTTTTATCTATCAAAATTTAATATAATTATTACTTTAAAAAATTCTTAACTACACAAATCCATTTACCATTTTTTCTCCCATTTTTATTATAGTCTCCTCCACCTCTTAGTTTATAAATTAATTTTAAATACATGGTTTAAAATCCAGAGTCAGAATTATTTCTAAATTAAATAAAAAATTTTCCATTTTTTATTCCTTTACAATATTATCCAAAACAAATTAATTGACTACCGCTTCATAAAGTTTCAATTATATTTACTCTTTATAATCTCTATATTTAAAATAAGGTATACTAGGAGGATACATACTTAATATAATTAATCAAATAATACTTTGGATGATAAAAATTAATTAATTCTAAATTTTTCCAAATAACATATTGATCATTATATTCTTTACAGTTATAGATCTAGCTAGTGTTAATTTTAATTTATTTTACATACCATCCAAGCATCCTATTTCTTAATTTAATCAAAGCTAAATTCTCCCTCTTTTTTTGATCAGCTTTAATTTAATATTAAGGGCTTTATTATTTTTTTTCCAAAATTTTTATGAGTTAAAGATAATTTAATGTTATTTATCCCTCCTCTATTATTATAGCTCTCCCACTCGTTTAAAAATCAAGAAAAATTGTTGATACTAAATATTTATTATAAAAGTGTTAGCCAATATTGATCATCCAAATTCCAATAGGCTAATTATTCATTAATTATCCAGCCTTTATAAACATATTTTCTTACATAATAATATTCTTCTCCTTCTCGAAAAAAGAAAGTTCTACCCATTTAAGTTTCTATTTGTAAATTCTATGATCTACTCTACTAACCTTATGTAGTTTCTTCATTTTGAAATGAAATGAAAACATATGAATGTAGAATGCAATTTTGTATGATATTATTAATGATTTGATAATGTTATTCCTCAGCATCTTTAACATCTAAAAAATTTTTGTTCATTTATTTAATTAAACAAATTATAGTAATTAAATAATATAGTTCAATTTATTATAATTTTAAAGTGAATAGTTTATTATAAATGAATTGATAAATTTAATTCTATTTAATGTTCTAAAATATCCCTAACCTTTAAAAGAATAATAATAATGTTACTATAGTATCAGATAATGTTACAAAGATTGAAGTTGATCTAAATGAAATAGAAACGAGTAAATAAGAATTAAATAAATTCATAAGCAACTACTAATCTTTAATATAATATTGTATAACAATAGGATAAAACTCAAATTCTTAGTTTGATGAACCCTATTTAAAATGTTTTTTTTTCTCAATATATATTTAGAGAAGTTTAAGAGAGATAAGGAACTATTAGAATGCTTTAAAGAAGTTTCTTCATAAATAAAAAGCCTTAACTTATTTTTTGAAGGATTAAATGTTAAGATAAATTTAAATAAAGAAAGTTTTGTAAAAATTACCATTTATGATGATAATTAGTTAGATTAAGCCTAAAAACCACATAATTAAAATGATTTTATGATAAATTTATATTGTGAAGCTAAAGATTTATACAAAAAGAAAAAAAAAATAGAAGCTTATGAAAAATTTTCAGAAGTTTTACGAATAAATCCTAGTTTTGTTGAAGCTAGAATTTACAGAGGTACTTTAATTAAATCAAATAACAAGGAAATTTAAGTTTGGATGTAAATAACCTTTCTTATGCTTAATTTGATTTTGAGGAAGTGTTAAAGTAGGATAAATAAAATTTAAAAGCTCTTAAAGGAATAAGTAAATTATTTTATTCAGAAAAGCCATAGCATTAAAGATGTAATGTAATTATGAACTAGGTTTGAAATATGCTTTAAAAATTCTAAAGCATGAACCCAATTCATCATAAGGTAATTTTAATGCAGGTATTTGATATTAAATAATTAGCTGACTGTTTAAAGTTTTTAGGATAATATAATGATAATATTCTCAACTATATTAATTAAGCAATAGATTAAGAAAAAAGAAGGTCAGACCAAAAGTTACAAGTTTATTATAGAAATAAAGGTAAATTTGAGTTGTAAATTAGGAGAAATATTATTTGGATTAGGTAGAGAGGTTGAAGCAAGAGAATTTGTTTAAAAAGCTCTCTTAATAAATTAAAATTATGAATTGGCTCTAAAAACATAAAGTAATTTGAATTAATTAAATTCTTTAGAAAGATTTGATGAGTTTACCTAAAACAGAGTCCCAACTTGATTTTCTAACTATATTTTTATAATCATTTTTTAGAAATTACTTTTAATTATACAACAAAAACTGTTCAATTCTTAAACAATTATAAAAAAATCATATTTAGGATTTTATATAAATCAAATTTAATTAAATTATTTAAAGTATATGTCATAAGTTATACCTCATTTAGTTTGTCTAAATAATCATAATGAACCTATTACAAAAGTTAGATTGAATAAAAAACTCACTTCAAAAGATAGATTTATGTGTGATTTATGTGGGGAACAAAAAAATAATGATCAGATTTTAGATATTACTAATGTTTAATTAATGATCTCTGATTTTAAAGAGAGATAAAAAGAATAAATAGAACTCTTTACCCAATTTAAATTTTAACAACTTTTAAAAATAGAAAATAATATTTCGAATTTGAAATCTACATTAAATAGATTGATAGAAAAATTGGAAAAACATACAAAATATTGGAGAGAATATATGAATTCCTTGTAAATTAATGATTGTGTTTCAGATTTCAATAAAGATGTTGATAAATTGATTGAAAATAAATGGGATGACGAGTTGAAAGAATACTATATGAATTTTGAGGAAAAAAATTCGCAATGGATATAAAAAATGGAAATGGATCTTAATCGTTTTTAAAATTTTTAAGAAAGTTAAGATATTAAAAGTATATTAAAGGAATCAATAATTTTAAAAGACATTTCTCCTGTAAGAGTAAAAGATAATTCAATATCATTAAATTTAATTAATAATACATCGTATCAGAATGAAACTTGTAATGCTATTTCAATTAATAAATCAGGAACAATTATTGCTACAACTAAAGAAAATTATATAGTTATTTGGGAATTTATAAATGGTAAGATGAACTTTTTAACTCATTTAGACAGACACATGGATTATGTAACCTGCTTGATATTTAGTAAAAAAAGGGATACAATAATTTCTGCTTCTTAAGATAAAACAATTCTTTGTTGGTAAATGAAGAATCAAAAATAATGGATTTGCTCATAATTAAATTTTTAGCATAATGGTCCAATAAATTGTATATTGTTAAATTAAAATGAAAATTAGCTTATAAGTGGAGGTTCTGATGAAAAGATACTCATCTGGAATCTTGATTTAAATTCAAACAAGTTAACATATTCATATTAGCTATAATTAACTGCAGGAGATGTGGAAGGCTTAACTATGAATCAGTCAGAAACTATATTAGTTTCTTGCCAAATTAATAAATCTATTTTAATATGGAAAAAAGGAAATGATGATAAATGGAAACTTTAATCAACAGTTACAAAGTAGGTTGATGAATTTGCATCAAGAATTCTTTTTTTAAATAATAATCGTTTTATATGGGTATCTGGAGATAAGGAGAGTTAGGATTGCATTTTTGTTTATTAAGAACAAAAAGGATAATTTTCAGAAGACTTTTAATCAAGAATAAGTTTGGAAAAAAACAACAAGGAATTTGATTTTCATCTATTTCCAGTTATATATAATTAAGAGAAAAATATTATAATAGTCAAACATAAAATTAGAATCTATATAGTAAAAGAATATCCAGATTAAATATTGAAAATAGCTGGAGTCATTACTTGTAAATCTACTAGACTATTTGGATCTTTAACGAATGATGGGCAATTTTTAATTTACTGGGATGCTAACGGAAGGGAAGGGGTTGGTGGTTAATACTTTATTTACAAGATATGATTTTGATATATTCTAAAAATATTTAAGTTTTTAATAATATTCATTTTTTATCATTTAGAATTAAGAACAAANTTGAAAGAATACTATATGAATTTTGAGGAAAAAAATTCGCAATGGATATAAAAAATGGAAATGGATCTTAATCGTTTTTAAAATTTTTAAGAAAGTTAAGATATTAAAAGTATATTAAAGGAATCAATAATTTTAAAAGACATTTCTCCTGTAAGAGTAAAAGATAATTCAATATCATTAAATTTAATTAATAATACATCGTATCAGAATGAAACTTGTAATGCTATTTCAATTAATAAATCAGGAACAATTATTGCTACAACTAAAGAAAATTATATAGTTATTTGGGAATTTATAAATGGTAAGATGAACTTTTTAACTCATTTAGACAGACACATGGATTATGTAACCTGCTTGATATTTAGTAAAAAAAGGGATACAATAATTTCTGCTTCTTAAGATAAAACAATTCTTTGTTGGTAAATGAAGAATCAAAAATAATGGATTTGCTCATAATTAAATTTTTAGCATAATGGTCCAATAAATTGTATATTGTTAAATTAAAATGAAAATTAGCTTATAAGTGGAGGTTCTGATGAAAAGATACTCATCTGGAATCTTGATTTAAATTCAAACAAGTTAACATATTCATATTAGCTATAATTAACTGCAGGAGATGTGGAAGGCTTAACTATGAATCAGTCAGAAACTATATTAGTTTCTTGCCAAATTAATAAATCTATTTTAATATGGAAAAAAGGAAATGATGATAAATGGAAACTTTAATCAACAGTTACAAAGTAGGTTGATGAATTTGCATCAAGAATTCTTTTTTTAAATAATAATCGTTTTATATGGGTATCTGGAGATAAGGAGAGTTAGGATTGCATTTTTGTTTATTAAGAACAAAAAGGATAATTTTCAGAAGACTTTTAATCAAGAATAAGTTTGGAAAAAAACAACAAGGAATTTGATTTTCATCTATTTCCAGTTATATATAATTAAGAGAAAAATATTATAATAGTCAAACATAAAATTAGAATCTATATAGTAAAAGAATATCCAGATTAAATATTGAAAATAGCTGGAGTCATTACTTGTAAATCTACTAGACTATTTGGATCTTTAACGAATGATGGGCAATTTTTAATTTACTGGGATGCTAACGGAAGGGAAGGGGTTGGTGGTTAATACTTTATTTACAAGATATGATTTTGATATATTCTAAAAATATTTAAGTTTTTAATAATATTCATTTTTTATCATTTAGAATTAAGAACAAATTACATAAGAGCAAAAGAAACTTCTTTATCTCAAATTTCAGATTTGAAGAAATCTAAAACAATTTTTTGATTGCAATAAATTTCTTCACTAAAACATATTTTTGCTAAATTAGGTGAGTATTATGTAGATGAAGGTTGTTAAAAATATTAATCTATTCAAGGATATTATTCTGGGAGTTATAATGTGACAAAATGCTCAATTATTGATAACAAAAAGTATTAAAATATAATTTCTAATTTAATTAATATCAACTGGCTCCTGCGACGTATAAAAATTGAAAAATCATAGGCTTTTGGAGACCAAGTTATACTTCTCATACAAAATAATGATGTTTTAAAAATTAAATTTTCTGTTAAAGTGATTGGGATGTATAAGGAGGATTATGGGAAGAATGCGATATTTATAATATCAAAGGGTTTGGCCAATATTTTACAAATTAAATGTTTGAGTTCCCAAGAATTTATTAATACATTGCCTATTATTTTTGTATCTGTATGGTAAAATCTTTTTCTATTAGCTCCCTTCTTTCTTTTTCGTAAGTGAGGAGTAAAGAAAAATTTAATTAATTATATTCAATTCTTAGTTTTAAATAAAGATTTAAAAGAATAATTTTCAAATTAAATTAAGGTATTCACTTATTTAATTAGATCATTAAAGCTTTTTAATTGGATATACTCAATTATTTTTAGCTTTAAGCTAAATTTAACATTTTCAAAAATATTTCTTAAATCAGTAAATTATTCTTCTCTTGTCTGGCCTAATAGTTTTGATATTTTTTTATCTAAGTCATTAGATATATTATTAGTTGAAGAAAGAACTAAAATTTTTTGCCTTATTTCTCTAAAATCAAAAATACTAAGACTTCAGTTAGGATTAAGTTTTTTTATTATTTTCTTTCATGATAAGCTTTTATTTCTTCTGTAAGAAATCGATTTTTATTTTTTTAGCTTAAATATTTATAGATATTTAAAAGCAGAATTTATAATAATTTGATATTAAATATGTAAGTTCATTTTTAGCTTAATTGATAATCAAAATTAAAATATCGATATACAATTGATAATAGAATGATTATATTCTAGAATTGATTATTGGTCAACCTTTATTATTTTGTATTTGTTTCAAACTTCATTCAATTGGCTATAGCGATTATTTAAGAACTAGCATAATTACAAAAATTATTTTATGCTTGTAACTTTAAAAAAATGCCATCTTAATTAAACAGTAGATGTGGTATTGGCTGTTTTTTTATTTTTATTAATGATTCTAAAAAAAGAGAAACAAGAAAGATTTAACTTTCTCGGCATTTGGGTTATTAATTCGATGAATATATTTAATCCAGTTATTATTTGGAATGTATAAAAATTTCGAAAAGAATCTAATAATTATAATAGTTGTATATCTTGAGACTAAACATTTTTGAAGGTGTAATTAAAATAAAACTATAATTAATAATTTATTCAGTAATTTTATAGATATTTATTTTTTTGCTTTGGACCAGGATTTTCTATTCATTTGTCACAAAAATCATAGTATACTATTTGAAGAAATATATAAATAAGGGTTCCTCAAAAATTTACATATAAACACTATTGAATCTAATATATCGTAATCTTTCTTTAAAATACTTCAGAAAATCTATGTTCTAAATTTATGAACTAATTTTGATTGTGATAGATTTAGAACTCTATATAATTTAAAAAGCTTAAATGTAAAGTACAAATATAATTACATATATGATTCTTAGGTTATTCTGTGATCTAGTTGTTTTATGCAGAGTCAAGTTAATTTGATTTATATTTGATATTCATTAATAGCTTGTAAAAAATATTATTTATTTATATTCTAAAAAGATATTTCATTAACTCTAATATATCTTACATATTCTGGATATCTTTTAATTTTTGTGATATAGGAGGATTGTAACTTTTAATAGAATTCTAAAATAAATTAAATACAAAATACAAAAAATTGTGGAATAATCATCGATCTAAGGAATTGATAGGAAATATAAATAACATATTATATTTAGTTACATAATAGTGCAAAATTGTCAAATATTCTAATAATATATAAATTATATCGATCGATAATGCTGAAATAGATTATTTATAACTAAATTATTTTAATAAATATAATAATTCTTGATAAATTATGAATAATTATTTGTTATTATTTATCAAGCTTTATATATTTGATCAAATATAAATAACTCAACTTTAATTTATACTTTTACCTTTATATTGTAAACAATCGTAATTAAGATTTGCAGCCAATAATCATACAGAAATTCCATTAAATTAAAAATCATTTAGATAAATAATATAATGATACATTAGTTTTTTGCTTTTAAATCATCAACTGTCGCGTATATTTTATGAGTTGATGAAACAGAATGTATCTGTAATAGCATTAATAAAATATACATTAGATAAAATAAAAAATTCATTTGATTTGTAAATAATAATAATAAAATAGATATTAAAAGTTATGGAAATTATTAAAATATTTTAAAAGATTAATTAAATTTTAACCTATTAAAAATAATATTAATACTATATATTCAAAGATTCTAATTATAAAAATTCTAATACTTAAAGTAAAAATTATTAAGCTCCTTAATTATTACTTAAATCGAAATAATGTTCACTTGATCAAAAGTCTCTTTTAATCAGATTGGTTGCATCTCATATCTTGTCATCAAACGTAAAAAAAGCTATATTGCATTGTCAGAAAATGGCAATCTATACTTAAAATTAAATTTAATTATTATATACTAAAAGTACTCCTAAAATTAAAATTATTTTAAAAGAAAAAATAGATAGTTGCATAATATTTAGTATAAATAATATAGACTTAAGTATTATTATAGAATTATTAATTATCATTTACTTTTCCTAATTTATTTATCTCTAGTTTCTAGAAACATTAAGAAAAAACTTAATAATAAATTTTATTTTAAATGAAAAGTCAACTAGAAAATAAAATAATTTTTTCGCAAGAATTTGATAATAATTGACGATTAACAAATTAACCTTAAAACCGCTAATTTATTTCTTTTTTTGGTTCTCAGATGATTTTTTACTTACTTATGTTAAAAAAACATAATTTAAATGATTTATTTATTTATTCTAATTTGTAAAAGAATTTAATAATATTTATTTGACCAAAATTATAGTTTTATTAGCTATAATTTAATTAAATAATCATAATTTATTTCCTTACTAAATTTTTATACTATAATAAAATGCTAACATTTTAAAATATCCTCTAATATCTACCTCCTCCTCACATGTATCAATTTTTTTATCATTTTTGAATTCACCAATTAAATTTACTTAATAAACCCAACTAATTTAATCACTAGCTACATTAACAGTTCAATTTATATATTAGTGTTTTTATCATAAGATATGCGAAAATAATAGTTTCATATATTACATCCTGTTATTTTTTCCATTCCATTAAAAATAAATATCCCATCTACCTACCTTATTACCATCTAATATTCACCTTCGAAAATGATTTAACTATACTACAATACTTTTCAAAATTATCCCTCAATTCAATTCAATCGATTTTCCAATTTTTATTTATCCTAAAACATTATCATCTTTATATTCACTACCTCCACTTTTTTCCAATAGTTTTTTAGATAAAAATATAAATTTAAATGTGATCCCTTATATAATAAATCCCGAACTTTTTTTCCATTTTTATATTCTCCATTATGTATTATTTATGCTTCACCACTAAAAATAAAATACCTACCACAACTCAACTCAATCCATTTTCCAATCTTAACTCAATCTACAACATTTAAACTTTATAATGTTCCATCATATAATCCACCATCACTATAACATTAAATGACAAATATATGTAGAAATATTTTAAACTATTCTTAATCTATTTCCACCTTTATTATAAAATATATGTATCCTATTATACAACCTTTTTTACCATATTTATATTAATCACCACTAATCATTAAGACTTAACTAAAATTAGACATATATAAATACCTTTTATATTAATCACTCAATTAATTCCAAGTACCAATCTATACATCACTTTCATTTAACTATTTCTCATCATATAATCCACCACTACTTGAAACATTCAATAGTTTAATTTAAAAATATATTTAATTTACACTTACATCAATTTAAATTTATCAGAATATACCAATCCTTAAATAAAATATCCCACTTAACTATGTTTTCTCCATTCTTATATACCATTATAAATAATATGACTATCACTAATAATTTTATATTGACATATAAAAATAATTCTAAGACCCAGCACTCAATTCAATTCAATCCATCTATCAATTTTAATTAATTCATTCAAATTTTCTTTTGGATTTTTTTATCATCACAAACTCTTCACCACCACTATATATTTTTTTATAACCATATATTAATTCAAATAGTAATTTATTATTATTTCTACTAAATAAAATATCCCATCTACCAACTTTTTCCCATTTTGGTATTAACCATAATCAATGATTTAATTTAAACAAAATTTTTGCATTAGACACATATACGTAGAAAAATCTTCATAAACATCCATCCACATTCCAATTTTGTTTGAATTCAACATCAATAAAAGTATTATGATTTTTATATACTCCCAAAATTCTTCAGATGGAATTATCCATTTTCCTGTTTTTAACACTAGTTATTGTAAAATCCTCCACCTCTAAATAATATATAAATTAAAACATTTTTTTATTGTTGTATATATATACTACTATTCTATTCTTCTCAAATTATTTAAATAATATCCAAAATAATAGACTTGAGCATTTTTATTAATTAAAATTAATAATTTTTAGTTTGTTCTTTCCACATACCCTACTTTTCTCCATCTTTAATATACAAATTAATTTCATAATTTTACTATATCCTCCAACATTTTATAAGAGTTGCCCCTATCAAATTGCTGTCCATTTACTAATTTTATTATTTTAGTCTCCAAATTCTTCTTTTCATTGAAGATATTTATTTTTATCGATAGTAGTCAATATTTATGAAATCTTCTAAGATTCTCTTATTTACTCTGTTTTTATTTATTTACAAAGGTGTCTTTGACTCTCAAAATTACTGCATTTTAATTATAAATTAATTTATTGTTTTAAGTTGCTATGATTTAAATTTTTATGTTCACAACTTATTGCTTAATTCCATATTCCTTGATGCCTTCATGACATAATCATTTAAAAATATTAACTTATATTTTATAGATAAATTAATTTTATAGATTACTTTTTATAAAAAGTATACCAGATAGAAAGATTAAGAACAATAAGAAAAAAAGTGAAAATTCTTTAGATTATTTCTAAATTTATTTCATTGATGTAATAATGTATATCTATATTAAAATTTATTTTAATTAATATTGTTACTAAAGTTTAGAAAAGGGTTTGTAAAATATTATTAACGTTTATTTTTATATAATATATCGTTATACTCCCAACTAAAAGACTTAAAAATTTAGGATTGGTAAAAACGCTATTTTTGCTGATTTTTAACAGTAATTTACAATCTAAATCAATAAAATAAGGTTTTTTAATATTTTCTCATTTAAAAATATATTAATCAAAAGACATAAAATAAATTGTAATATATTTTAATACATTTCTAATTGATTCTTAATATAAAATATAAATTAAATGTTTTAAAAATTTTATAAGGATATTCCAAAATTTTTAAATAAAACAAAAAAAAAAATATCAACAATTTAAAACAAAGAAAAAAAATATAAAAATTAGAGGATTAAATAATTTTAGAAAATTAATAAAAATAAATTCTGCAAACAAACAAAAAATTATAATTTCCTTA